GTAAACAAACTGAAGATAGGACTCTGAAAACTCTGAAAACATCACAGACAGTGGGACTCGGGTGTTACACCCATTGTAGGCAGTCATGACTCACAGAGTTATTTTCAGAGGATATACTTGATTTCTACAAGAACAATACAGTAATTATAGTGACACAGTAGGGATGTAATAAATTCCCTAGCTAATGTAATATTTAGTAACATAATGTAGGCTAATATACTGTTCATTGAATAAGTGTAGGACGACATAATGTGAGCTATAGGCGTAGTTGATGTTTGTGGTAACTGGTGGGTTTTACTTGAACAAATGTCCCTCTGGATAATTAAGATCTTTATTTTCAGTTTAGGGAGAAGTGGTGTGATGAAAAACATGGTCAGATCCTCATTTATATGACTTGTAATATAGTAGTACGGCATTATTACAGCTTTCTAGCTTCCCACCATGAGTCTGACGTTAAAAAAAAAAAAAAGGCCACCATTTGAGCATAGGAAATTGTCATTTCTGTGTCAGGTGGACTTGAATGTCACTCTGTACTTTGCTTTTATAACAACTCCCAATACAACAAATTCCAAATAAAACGCAGACAGTCATGTTGAGCACTTTCCCCCTCCCGCTGCTCTTCCTGTCCACTGAGTAAGTAGACAATAGAGACAGCTGAAGGAAGGACATGAATCCAGCTTCATATCCTGATATCAGTCCACTCAGTAATGTGCAATGGTTATGAGATTAAACAAGATATGTCTGGGAATTACAGAAGTTTCCCTATCTAACAGCCCACCACTCCCAACTCACAATATGTGGTAGGACACAGAGAAAGAGAGGAAGCTCTCTACATTACAGTAACCTTGTGCTTGACTATGGCATACAGTGCTTAAAGAGCAGCCAAAAAAGGCTTTTATTCACCTCAAGTGAAGACTACATCACCACAGGGGGAACATGCTGGTAGTGAAAGTCTCTTAAGATGTTATATAAGAGCAGAAATATTCCTTACCAGATAAAAGCCTTCCTATCAGCCGCCTCCCCATGCTGATTTCCTAGTGCGTTTACACTCAAAGAAGCCCTTTGATAAGCACATTAGATGGAACGGCCTGGACACAATGGTGATGTCATGAGGATTAGCACGCTACCTTGCTTAGTGTAGCGGCGGGCACAAGGGCTAATTCACAGCACTGCAGGGTGAAAAGCTGCGAGACCTGGCTAAATCGTGGTAAAGAGAGCGGGGCGGCTGCAGAGCAACCGGTTAAAATATAGCTTCTGTGTAGGAAGGCAGGAATAAACACAACATACATTAAACATTCATGTTGCACTCCACTTTAGGAACATTTTGTGAAATTTCCTGCTCCGTTGCCATTACTCTACAAACTGTCTTGCTGTTCGAGGGGCCTGTAATCAGAGCTGTGGTGGAGCAGTCAGAGGTCAGGTGGTGCTCTGCCAATAGTGAAAGCTGCTGTAAGTGAACGTTACTGTGATTCAGGCACAATGGAAGAGACTATAGAAAAAAACAGCCTCTTCATGCCTTCCTTTCAGCCATCTCCCCCACAGATTTTGTAGTTCAGCTTTTATACCGAGCCACTATTTATTTCACCCTGCCTTCTATTCAGGTACAGTACTGTGCAGTACATGAATAAGTCAAATGCAGAAAGCTCTCTTGACACAAGAGAGGGAGAACATCACAGTAAAATTGTTTTTTCAAGACTCACAGCAGCCGAGTAAATTGCTTGGGCCCATTCCACTGGAAGTACTTCTTAAGAAACAGGTGATGTAGGTGGCTTACGCAAGGGTTGAGTTTTATTTTTAATCCATGGAATAGAGTGTTTGCTTCAATTTTGAAATAAAAAGAAAAGGTGAATATTATGCTTGAGAATGAATCTGAGGTTTGGGGACAGATTGTTATGCAGGTTCTGTTTGTCTGAATTTGAATAAAATGGTTTGTAAGATTTCAGTGATGTGGCCTTTTTGTCCATACTTTAAATCTAGAGATGGATTGGTTACTATGCTGATGTCTCCTCCTTGGTTACAGCTGGGTTTGTAGTCAGGACTCAGGTGGAGATGACATTATTTTTCGTCAGGGTAAGGAAACCTCAAGGCCTCCTGCAATGGAAAACGTTCGAGAAAGAAGTATCACACAAGCCAAAAGACAGGCAGACAGGCACACACACACACACACACACATACACACACACATGCACACACTGACAATAGTGCCCGGTTGGTTTGACGTCAGCTACTCAGAGTCTCATTTTTATTTGAAGAGCCAAATATCTATCAATACAGGTTTGGACTGCTGTGAGAAAATAGCCCCTGGCCTTGTTCCCACTCATCTTTGTGAGCCTCTGAGGGCCTTGTAAATAGATTACACAAGTTCCCTTGTCTATGCTCTCTACACAGCCTGCCTTTGGTAACAAACAACCCATATCTGCCATTAGAAATGCTACTGAAAACCCAAACCTCAACTATTCAGGCTTAGCCAAATTAACTCTCCAAAGTAAAACCCCCACAACTTGACTCAACATTTGAGGGGCATTCGGTTCCGTTCAACTATTAGTCGTATACAAAAAGAAGTTCTCCTTTCAATGATTACTTTCTTTTTTGCATCTTGTTAGCTTGTCCTTTTCTAGGTCAGAGCTGTCTGAAAAGTGAAGAGCCCCAGATCAGCATTGACATGTCAGAGCAAAGCTGATCTGGGGTCGGGTGGCCTTCAGGGCTCCATGTGGTCCCTTCTACGGCCATGCCTGTGCGCGGCTGCCTCTGATTGGCCAGAACGGTGAGCCAGGTCTTGACAGGTGTTTGGAAGAGGGACACCTGTTTGGCCATGTGCTGATTTAGTGATCCATTTGCTGGGAGCTGTAGGAAGCTTCTGCGGGACGCTCATGACATGCCAAGTCATTTAACAAAGAATTTCAGCCATGCTTTCACAGGCCTTCAATGTTGTAGCATTAAAAACACCACATTGATGAATAACTCTTCACACGTCAATCTCTATAGCACCATTTTTCAAAAGATAATATGCATTGTAGTGCTTAGTTTCATGTATCACAGAGGAGATCTAAGATCTGCCTGCCCTTGTCCGCTGCTATCTGGTTCCCCTCTCACCCACTGTGCAGCCTCACCCCTCCCTACATGTCTTGGGCCAGTGGGTGCGGTGTGCTGAAGACTGGCCAGGCTCGTTGTGAAACTAGAGCAGCCCTGCCCAGCTCGCACACAGCCGTGCCCGACCAGTCTGACCAAGATATTCCCATAATGAGCAGGTTTGAGATTTAAATTTGCAGGTTGAGATCAGATCTTTGGCTCTCTGGTGGAGAAAGTGCACAGTCTAACCCCAGTAAACACAGGCCTTTCAGGACCCTAACTAAAGAGGGTTTGTTCAGTAAACAGGAAATGAACCAGCAAGGCGTTTTCTTAGAATGAGAAGAATGCCACTGTTCTGTACCACACCAAACAGTAATCCATCTTTGGTACAGTGCTGGCCATTCATTATCCAGAGGAGCTCTTTTCTCTTCTTGGCATTGCAGACAGTGAAGTCTGAAGACTTTGCGGGTGCTCTTCTGAACTTCCTTATTTCCATCAAATGTGCAAAAAGCGACACATTTCTGTCTGTGTCTGTGCAATGCATGTTGACATTACTCTCGTGCAAAAAATAAACATTGCTCAGAAAATGCATGCATGGGGATCGAGGTGTTTAAATTTAAATGTGTTAATATTATAAGAGGCATTTAAAGGTTATGGACCGTGTCTTAGGAAATGTAACTTGCACTGGGGTTGTGGTGAGCTACCCTGGGTTAGCCGCATTGTCTGCACAGACCTTAACGTAATGCCACATCTCTGTTAGAGGATGTAGCAGCTGTAGAAACACCCCCACCCCCCACCCACCACCACCACCAGGACTCACAGACATTGCACATACGCAGCACACACTGCTTCTCACAGAGTTTCCCTTCTCTTCTCTTGCACACACCATTTTCCACTTTGTTAGGCGATAAAGAACAGACACAAGAGAGCGAGCGTCTCATTAGTTGTAGGTTCCTCTCCTCTGGCTTCACACTCTGACCCCTTGCATCCGCAAGAGTCAGTGACCTTCCTGTAGACACGAGACCTCCGAGGCAGCTTAGCAGACAGGGCAGGGCGCTGCTGTGGACCTGCAGTAGCCTGATAGAGGAACCTCGAGAGCCACACATAAATCATGTTTTGATGTACACTGCCTTGATATCTCAAGCTGTCACATGCTGTCAGCACGTCTTGTTAACACCGCTATTCAGAGCTGTAATGAGGAGCAGAGAACAGCCCGTATGAAACTGAGCAAAAGAGCAGTGTAGCTTTTATATGTTCAGTTGTACGGCATTTTTTTCCCCCTCTGAAATTGGAATCGTTTTTTTATTGCACCACAACTCCCAAACCTATGCAGTACTTATGAGCTCTTTGCTTATACAATAATTGCTTAATTTCATGCTCAAATAAGCATCTTTGACCACATTTGATTATCCGCTTTATTCTCCACATGCATTCATTGTGATAAGATCCCGCGAGTGACAACCATACTAAATTGGGACAGTCTTAAAGTGCTCTGCTGTAGGATCTCCTTATGCAGAGGTTTCTTCCAGCTGGGTGGCTCATGATGGCTGAAATGTGATGAAAAATGCAAAAAAGAAAAAACACACACTTGCAGCAAGAGAGGGAAGAACAGGAAAGGAAGGAGGGGGGTCGAGAAGGAGAGAGAAGCGGGATAAAAAAGGAGGAGGATACACTTTTAAAGATTGGAAGGATATAGAGTGACACGTCAGTTTCCCATTTCCTAATACTCTTGAGTTGAACTACAGTTTGGACGAAGCATTGGTGTAGCAGCTTTTGTGATGCAACAAAACACACAACTGAAGGACAGATTACACTTTATGCTTTTATAGATATTATTTTGGTGAGAATTTATTTATTAGGTAAAAAAGCAGCACAAACACAGAGCCACATCTTGTATTCTGTTTCTTTTCAACTGTGTAATTTCATTTCAGAAATTGAGAAACAAAGGCCATAATGACTGTGCTAGTCCCGATCCAGAGGACTGTTTTGGGCACAGCCCCCTCATGGACGACCATTTCGGCAAACTAAGCGAAGAGAGTGATTTAATGTACAAGCGCTGTGGTGTAAGTACTTCCTTTGTCCCCTGCTGTTTTGTGTTGATTCCTGTCTTTATGTTGATGTTCACTACAGGCGCTAAACAAGAAAGAACACAGAGGTTGTGATAGCCCGGACCCCGATGCCTCATATGTCCTCACTCCTCACACTGAAGAAAAGTATAAAAAAATTAATGAGGAGTTTGATAATATGATGAGAAATCATAAAATCGTAAGTACTGTAAATGCAACATCTTTGCTTGGCTTTGTGGCACACAAGGATTTTCACTCTTATTTTCATTTAACTTTTCCTCTTTTTGTTACCCCCACCCAGAACTTCTGTCAACCTCTTTCAGAACTACTCTGGCTTACGATTAATACCCCCCTTCACTGGGTGTGCGTTTGTTTATACGTTGATTTGTTCAGCAACTGATACTTTGGCACACCCTGATAAGATCACATTTCAAAAGAACAGGTGAATCGTTGCATGCATCTTGCTGGAAAGATTACACCACAGTATCATGTTATCAAAACTCAAACAGGAGTCGTTTCTCAAACACATCAGTCATGTACAGTAATGTGAATACTCGTCAGTCAGATAACTATGTTCTGTGATTTAAATACCCTTATTAAAAAAAAAAAAAATTTACATTTCCAGTTTTCTTGATGATGTAACTTTAACAATTTCTCCTTTAACATCTTCTCTTTCAAAACATTATAGTACATAAACAAGTCATACCCCTGAACAGTTCCAGCACGCTAACAACCACACTATCATTTAGCATCTTCCCTCTCCCTCATCAAATACCACACTGGCTCACCCTTTAAAGTCCCTACAAATCTTTTGTGATCTTATCATGCGTGACAATATTGGAATTGTGCAAGGACACAGCGCCTACTAAGCAGTCATTTTCTCTATGTTCCTTACATGAAGAGCATCACTTTGCCATTAACAAACTAATGATAACACCCGACTGGCTCACTGGATAATGCTATGATGAAACGTTCTCACTGCCACCTGTCATTCTCACTTACGCTTTGCACAGTCAGCACTTTGAAGCTAAATGCAGGTGAGTCACGACTCGTGTAAGTTGTGAGTCCCTGTTTCCCCTCTCTGCTGTGCTGAGAAACCCACGACACAGTGCTTATGCATAAGACAAAAGACTGTTTCCAGTGCTGACTGCTGCAATGCCAAAGTGATCACCTGAATGCATGTTTTTTTTGGATTTGTGTTTCCTGTTTTTTCTGTGTTACAGTAGCACTGAAGATGTGTGTATTCTGTGTATGATGATTATGAAAATAAACTTTTTTGTTGATGGTTATCAGATGTCACTCAAAAGCCCTCAAATGTTAGGCAGAAATGATTATCTTATTTTGTGATACAGCAACTGTTTCTTCTATTGGATTAATAATGCATTGCCAGTCTCTGACCAACACCTGACGTCATGTTTTTGAGTGTGTATGTAATCATCTGTGTTTGTCCTTCTGTTTTAGCCCTCAGCATTGCCTCAGCAGAACTTCTCAATGCATGTGGCGGTGCCCGTTTCCAACCCTAATGCCATGTACCAGCAAGGAGGGTCTCTGGGCAGTCAGGCCCTGGCCTCAGCCACAGTCTCCCTGAGTGACAGTGGGATGCTGTCCCCTCCCCAGGCCTCTCTGCACAGGAATGTGGGCTCGAGTGGAGGCCCCCAGAGGCCCACCAGTGCAGGCAGTGCAGGTTAGTAGTCAACAATTGTTATTTGGTCTCGGAAGATCCAGACAACTCAAAAGTTATTTTATCCGGTGCATTAAAAGCCCCTTTGTGTGTATTTGTATGTGATTACATCATCTTTTAATCTGATGTTTTCTATGTTGAAGAATTTGATAGTAGTAGTAAAATGAACGTGGTGGTCATTAGCCTAGCTTAGCATAGAAAGTAAAAAACAAACAAACAACTAAATAACGAGTCCCTCATTCACCAGAAAGCATTCGTGTTTGGTGTTTTTATAGTAAGATAGATGTAAAATGTAAAGAGAGTGTGAGATAAAAAAAATAAAAAAACATGAGTGTAACATGCTGTTAGCTAACAACTAACCATAACAACCACACAAAACAACTAAACACCATAGGGGAGTTTTGGGCAGATTCTTTTCACTCAGGATGGAGCCAGACTAGTCACTTCAAACTGAAAACTTTGTTATAGTTGAAAAGAAAACACAGCATAACCACTAGAATCAGGGCCTGGCTTTTGCAAAGAAAAAAAAACCAACTAACTAACAAGAAACAACTTCTTACAATCAGAAATGTTTTCACATTTCTTTCATTTCACTTTGTGATTATTTTTGATAACAGAAATTTAAAAAAGTAATGAGTGTTATTTGAGAGAGTTGCAGGCTTTACTGCCAAACTATCTGCTAGCAACAACACATAACAACCCTGAAAAAACACTACGCCTTAAACTGTTGTCACACCAGTGATATACACCAGGATAGGAATTTGCCCTCCCTTCATGCTTACCTTGGCTAACGGTCTTTGTTTTTGTTTTGTTTTTATTTACTGGATACTAAGTAGAAAGACATGGTTCTGATGTAATCGTCTACAAGAGAGGGAACAAGAGTAAGCTTGTTGTTTGAAGAGTTCAAACTTTTCTCTTCAGATAACTTTTGAATTTCTTTTGTTGTCTCTAATACACGTATTTTTTTTTTCTTACAAAGATAGCTTTGGCTGTAAGAGGTCTAAGATCAGAAAGTCACATCATACTAACACCCTTACCCTGTTTTTTTGTGTGTGATATGGTTTTCACACCCTCTGATATGATCATCATCACACTATTGACTGTTGGAAAAATGATGTCAGGCTATGCTCATGCTTGTGTTACTGGTCTGACTCAGTCAGTCCAAATGGCTTTTGCAAGAGTCGGCTTCACTGCATACGATGGAAGAACAAGCATCAAGGTGTGAAATATCTCATTCAATTTTAACCACATATCGGAATTGGCTCACACCTTCTCATTTGTAGGGGATTTACTTCATTTCTTTTTTCAACAACTGCAATTTGATCATTTGCCAAATGGTCACGATTGTGTTTTTATTTTGAACAAATGGGGCACACATTTTCTGTGTGTTTGATTTCTGATATGTGCTGTGAGAAACTCTATTGGATACATTATTCACAAGAGAATGAATGATGACTTCTTCAGTTGAGTCTCCTTAGTAGAGTGTTCTTTTTCCCATATCCAACTTTACAAACATAACAAACCTGCTGAACACAGCATGGTGTCGCCCCCTCTTTAATCATATATCGAAACCCCTCACCATGAGGACACTGGCAGGAGCACATGTCTCCCTTTCGTTTGCTGTGAAGATCGATCTCTGTGACATTTTCATGTCTGCTCAGGCATCTCTGTCACATGTTCTGCTAGCTTGCAGAAGGATGCAGATGGTTAATCATATCACTCTGTGCGTCTCATTAGGTGGCACACTGGATACCACAGACCTTTCAGTGCCAAGTGTTGTGGGCTCCAGCCCAGCGGGTAAGTCCTCCCGGAGAGATTCATTAGCTCTCTGTAGCTCTGCCCAATAGGCCTCCTGCTAAGCACGCGAGCCGGATAGCTGTGTATCCATCTGCGATTGGTTCAAGACATCGCCATTATCTCTGACTGATGGCGCCTTTTACAGACTCCGTTCCCCCTGTATGCAAAAGGAATACATGTGTTGCTTCACCCAGCGGAGGAATTGTATGATACGCTTGTTAAATGCATGTTTGAGAGTTGGGAAATGGATCAGCAGCCTTCACACAGTAGGTTTTTTTGCGCTTGAAACCAACCCCTGTTACCAGGCGAGGCAATTAGCTATCCAACCGACTCTGGCGGGTAAATAAACGCAGCATTTTCCTTTAAACTTGTCACCTCTGTGTAGCCTTTTCTCGTCCTGATTCCTTTCCCTCTATTGACAGGTGCATCTGTTTACCCCCACAGCTCTGGCAGCCCTTATATGGCTGGAGAGGGTCTGTAAGATGCCTAGACCAGCATAACCCTGTAGGTATTTGAGCCATGACATCCCACTAAGTCCTCAGTACACAATGACCGAACAGCCTGTCATGGCTGCTATGTGCTCTGTGAGAGACTGAGGCAGGTGGAGTTTAACTCTTTACTTGTCTATGAGCTTGCTGCTGAATGCTGCATGAAGTTGCAACATGGTTAGATATTTGTTCTTATACGTTTTGGAAGTCCATAAGAATATAGGCTTACAATGGGATATTTTGGTCAGATATTGATCAGAACATATGGAGACCACCTCAGATCGGTTTTCAAAGAGCCGGGTAAGATTTAAGTTCAGGGTGTGGTGACTGCTCTGGGTAGAGATAAGATCTTCTGCCAGGGGGCGTCAGTGTTTGGCACAGTGTGTGCATGCTGCAGCTGTTGTTTGTACCAAGTGTGTAGAACAGCACAGAGACTACAGGGAGGGGAAACCTCTCCAGCCCTGCTGTCAGATGACCATTCCTGACATAGCTCTGATTTTTCACAAGTAGCAGCTATGACCACAGCAGAAGCCTTTCAAAGTGGCCAGATGGAAGATGCGCCGTGTGATATCTTCTCTCCTGTTCACTAGTGTCACCACACAGAGAAGATATTACTTACATGTACATGTACAGGAAGATTTCTTTTTAAGTTAGGGCAAAAATAGAAATGACTTCCCAAACAACCACTGTAGGAGCTATTATTTACCTACTGGCAGATTGCTCAAATTGCCTGACTTGGAAGTGGCATATGTTGATGTCACAGTGAACATTATTGGTGAGATTTTTCCAGCAGAAGTGTTTCTCTTGTTCTTTCTTAAATAAGCCATCTGCTGTTGTTTTTGTCTAGCTTTTGGCTTTAGATAATGTCTTTAAAGCTCCACTACACCCTCATAAACTCAACTCTTAAAGTCTCATTTTATAGTTTTATTACCGATTTTTTCCCCCCAACAACTCATACAATTACAGCGAATTAAAAGCTCTGATCCTTGACTTGTGAGCTTTGAGAACAAAGTTGTGGTGAACAGGGGAGGGCTTAAGAGGCCTCTCTCTTTCTTTCTCTCTCTCTCTCTCTCTCTCTCTCTGTGTGTGTGTCTTTCTCTCTTTCTTATGCAATTTGAGCATTACAAGCTCTTAAAACTCAATGAAAAACATGTTTGTAGGTATTCAGAGTTGAAATGTTGTTCATGTTGGATAAAACAAAACAATAATGTGAACTGTTTCGTCAACCTTATGGGCTGACAAATGAAGCCAATGCAAAAGTGCCAAAATGTGTCTGCAGTAACTTGAATGGCCACTTCCGAATGGTTCCGAACGCTATTTGATTACCAAGAACTTCCTATTAAAAAACCCAGCTTTACCGCAGACACTTACATGCAACAGTCTGGTACATTTTGGTCTTAGCTTGGTTCCCCTTTCACAAAATTGGAAGAAGAATTTTAGTGTATTAACATTTTTGGATTCAGTTCACCTATGTATACTATATGAAGCCTTCAAAGTATGCGTCCTTAAGGTAGGAGTTGCTGTGGGTGACATATGGGTGCTGCGAGCTGTTTGTGGTGTTACCTCAGCATATTCAAGTCCTAAACTTCTGGCCTTTTGTAAAAAAAAAAAAAATATTGCAACTTCTGACTCCAGTCAACAAAGATGGCGTTGGCCAAAATTGAGCATTTGAAACGGAAGTCAAAAAATCAATAGGTAATGTCATGGTGTCCATGTCCACTTTTTATAGAAAGCCTATGTGTGGTTTTTTTTTTCTACAGGAAAAGAGTTGAGGGGAAGAACAATCGTTTACCTCCTCTTCACATCCTGTCCGTTCTTAGTTTTTCTGAGACACAACAATAGGACTGTGCGTAGCGTCTATTATTAGAAAATGTGTTTTTGGAGGGCTTGATTCAACATCTACCATTTCTCAAAGACATTTTTACCTGAACCTGACGCATGTGGGATGCTGGGCACAATAAGTCACTGTGTTTTCTTTCCCTGAACTCCAAATGAAAACTGAATGTTTCAGTTGTGAACACAAGGCCTTATGTAATGGCCCTGTCCCAGACCGTGTTAATAATTCAGGACAATGAACTGAAACTAAACAGCTTTCAGCATGCACAGATTCCTGCCAGGGAAGATTTATTGGCACTACCAGTCCGTTAGAGGAGTCTCAGTCTGGATATGGAAAGAAGTCAGACATCAGAAAAAGCCTATTGAAATGTCTCTGCTGAAAGGCTTGGTCTTAACTTTTGGCTGTTACCTTGGCTCAAATACGTCTTTGTGGTCAAAGTCTTTGGCAGTGACTTGAAAAGCAGTGTGGGATTTTATCATCATCAGACATCTGAAGTCATAATCAGAGACACTTTCTAAAGATATGCAAGTCAAATGGGTTAATCCTTTTTGAATTAGCCAGTTAAGTCAGTACTTAGTGTCTGTCTGTCTGTCTGTCTGTCTGTCTGTCTGTCTGTCTGTCTGTCTGTCTGTCTGTCTGTCTGTCTTTGCCATGTGTAGCACTTGTTATGTGTCCAGAATCACACTGTTATCAGAACACATTATGTTGGTTCAAACATAAAAAAAATTAAATAACTGAAATGTTGATAAACACAGAGTAACTACATTTCAGAATCAGTCATTTTAAATCATTCACAATGAACAACATTTCATGTAAAGCTTTGAAAATACATTTTTTATTCTTTTTTTACTGAGTCCTAATATAAAGAGGAAGTTTTTATGTACATCATGCACAAAGAACAATACTGTAGTCTTTCTCAGGCATACGGCTATTTAAGTATTCAATTACAATTAACGTTTTTCTTCAAGTTTTGTGAATGTTTTTTTATGAAGGTGTTTTTTTTGCCAGGTTCTGATGTCCTCTATCTTTTCTTTTTGTCTCCATGTTTGTAGTATTCATATAGCCATCATATGTGTGAGCAACATTACACCTTTCTCTACAGATTGATTGTAAAATATACGTATATATGTGTCCAAATCAAAAGAGCCTCTATCAGTTTCAGATGTATTTGTGTAATTATAATTGAGCTGCAGCTCAAATGCTTTGTATGTGAACATAATATAGCCATCACGTGCTGTGTAGGAAAGCAGAATGGACAAAGCATATGTTTATCCATTTTCACTATAAAAATTACAATAAGTTCAAACAGTTAAAGGACTGGCATCATTAATCGGCTGTGTTGTATTTGTATTCTGGATTTAACAGTTTTAGAACATTGTGCATGCTATCTAACAGGGTGAGCTTGTGTGATGAGGTTGAGGTACATATTGGAAATGAAGTCATCATACATGTTACAAGTAAATCTGTCCTTTCCCAGCTATGACAGGGGTGGGGTGGGGGGATTTCTTTGTCTTGTTTTTCTCATCAACAGCCTTCAGAAAGCTCTTCACATGCAATAATGCTATTCTGAATAATTACATTCCCTTACATGAAATTGTATTTTGGACTAACGTCTTATTCCCACTCAATGACATCTTCACTGCTTTAAATCAGGTTGTCTATTTTTAGACTCTTGGACGTTTACTCTGTTAATTCTGTAAACATTGTTTTCTTGCGGCAGCCAAGTCTGGTGTGATCAAAGCCAAGCGCTGATGGGGATAGCTGCTTGTATATACTGTTGATTCAGCTGTGTGATACTATTGTTGGCTTCATAACTGTTTATTTGACCGTGAATTGTTGCTGTCCTTATCTTTAGTTAGAGGGGCTATTGTTCCATTATGTTCCTACGCAAGGGCCTACTCATTGTGCACACACTTTGTGTTTCAGTGGGATACGCCACACACAATGGAGAGGTTAGCAACTTGTTGAAGTGTTAGTGATCTGTTGATGCAGTGCTAGATACCATTCAGTTTTCTTTCCGTTCTTTTCAGGATTTACACATGTATATATTTCTAAAGGATGCATTTATTTTGCCTTACATAATGCCACTGCACATCTTAGAATTTGAGTGCACTATAATAATTTGTTTTTCATAGCAAATCATTGCTTTATTTCTATTGGCGTCGATTTTGTGGAATCTGCAGTACCTCACTGCAGACCTTGTTCAGATGAGTCACACAGTATATTACAAATGAAAAAAAAAAAAAAGCTCTCTAGGTTATAAAACCTTGAAGGAGTCATATTTTTTGTGAAACCTGTCTTTTAGAAATGAAGCACTTGCACCGCTCTAACAATTCTTACAGGTCATTTTGCTATTGCAGTTTTTCCTCTGCGTTATTCTGTTTTCATTAGAATTCTTATTTGTGAGTCTCAGTCACATCACACAACACATTGACTACCTTCTTATTGAATGTAATGATCTGCTGATGAAGCTTACATTTTGCATGCAATAGCTGTCCAGAAGTGCAGTGGGAGAGATGAGGGTGGGTAGTTCCTGAAATAAGTTGGTGGGGACTCATTCTGACTTATTGTAAAAAAGGAAATGACTAACAACCCTCCTTATCAAGTTGTGAATGTTTAAGGGATCGTCTAACACTTTGCTAATGTTTGTGTGCGCCATGTTAAAACAACATGTAGACATCTTTTATTGTTTTTTATTCAGCTGTAATGGCTTCAGCTATTTCTTTTAAGCAGTCACAGTACATTTGCCAGTGAACTGCTCCTCCTCCCATGATACGAAGACTTGACTTTGATCCAATCATTCACGATAAAAATAAAAGGCTCATCAATTTTGAAATGGACATTTTATTTTTGTAAATGTGCAGGATAATTATCCAAGTCTATTAAAAGTTCCCAGAGGGTTGGAAACACTTAACGTTGCGTGCTGCGGCAGGGAAAACAACACTGTGTGAGAGTGCTGCTTGATGACTGAGAGTGTTGTCAGTCACAGTCCGTGGTTTGATGATGTGTTTCTATCGCTGTGTACCTCTGCAGGGAACGGTTTTGTTAACCCCAGGGGCTCCCCAGGCGTCCTCAGCTCATCCAGCGGCAATGGCCTGGGTAAAGTCATGCCCACCAAGTCTCCCCCCGCCCCCTGGAGGGAACATGGGAATGGGAAGCCGCAAGCCAGACCTAAGGGTTGTTATCCCTCCGTCTAGCAAAGGGATGATGCCCCCACTGGTGAGTACAAAGCACACCACTGCACACAAAAAAAAAAAAAAACACACCAACTAAAGGACCTTCAAGTATCTCTCCTGCAGGGAAGACAAGTGCCTTGTTCAACGTCTCAATCCAGACATTAATCGCAGAATGTCTTGCAGTATTTTGCCACAAATTATCACATCAATGTAGCATCGCGCCGTGCCAGTGAGGTTGTCACCTCACCAAAGAGTATCTGCCAAGTGGGAATCACGCACAGTGTGCAGAGCTGAGCGGCATCTCTCTCGTGCTCTGTTTTTCTTAGATCTCCTCCATTGAATGTAAATGGAGCCAAAAATCTCCAGCCCAGGTGTCATAGCTCTCACTCGATGGCTCACATTTAAATGGAAGACTTTCTCTAATGATAATAATAATGAAAGAACAGGGCGTTCTGACCACAGTGAGCGCCTTAAGGCAAACTACAGACCTCGGGTCAAAAATCAACATACAAAAAAAAAACTACAGGCAGGGGATTCTCAGACACTGTGCAGATGATATGCCATTTCAAACTGTGCTTGTTGCTGACAGCAACAGGAGCCACTCCAGGAAAATGATTGTGTTTGGTAAATAAACCTCGGGTTACTGGGGGTGCTCAAGCTTCAACTGGCCCTCGTGCTTTGTTTTAACGTCTGCGCGTTGCCATGTCTGCATGTGGAATCAGTAGAACATGGCAGGTAGTGTTGTGAGAGGTCTGGAAGAGGTTATGCTTTGGCTTGAGGTCGGTTCTGTTCTGCCTGAGCGAATAGAGCAGTTTCAAATGGTAAAAGGCTGTGAGGGCGCAGGCTGTGGCAGGTCTGCAGACAGCCTGTCATTAGGCCATAATGGTATTAAATTAATCACATCTCAGTGTGACAGAGTGTAGATGAAGACTTAATCAGGGGGCCAGGGTGTGAGCCAGATAATATCTTGTCGCCCTTGTCGTGTCTTCCTGCCGCTATTGATTGAGTGTGGGTATTAAGACGGACCCGGTCTGGTCGCTGTATGTTCCGCAGCACGAGAAAAGATGGAGGACGAGCTTCAGGTTCCTCTTTCGGCGCAGGGAGGAGTTGAGATACTATTTAAGAGGCGTAGTACTACGCAGTCATTTCTTCTCTTTGATTTCTGTTGATTACATGACAATCTCTTTGTTGCATTTAGAATTATTCTGCTGCCTTACTGTACTAAACGTACTTTCCCTCAGTGAGTTTTGTCCTGCAGGACCTGACTGCTGATTCCTCATCATTGACAACATAACAACTTTATAGCCCAACATACTTAAACATTAGAAAATCACATCAAACATTTATAGATAATGGCCACAGTCTTGAACTTAAGATGAATACTTTAGTGTTTTTTTTTGTTTTTTTTTCATGAAAAAGTTAACACCAGACTATGGGAATAAGAAGTCATCCACACCTCATATTACTTATAACCTCCAGTATCCAGACTGCTGTCACTTATTCCAGAGCGATTTACAGTTGCTCTGCTACTTTTTCGGTAACTCTGCCTCTCTTGTTTTCTTCTGTCGGGATCAGTCGGAGGAGGAGGAAATGGATTTGGTGAGTTTTGACAAATGCCTGAGCAAATGGCTAAAATGTTACATGCTTCCGGTAACCAGACGTGCTAGACAAAAGGGAGCGATTAAACAGGAGACTGGCTCTCAGAACTGCCTGCAATAATACATAAAAAAAAATGTTTGTCACTGCATGTTTTGGGTTTGGCCTGTGAAAATTGCCTCAGCCTGTTTAAATTGCTAAATGTTAGTCATATACCACAGAGAGTTTGAGGAAAAAGAGAAAAAGCTAAAGCTAAGTGAAAGTTTCTTAAAGATTGTTTTTTTTTAAACTATAACAATAAAGTCACTTTCTGAAACATTTCAGAAAAAGGGTAGAAAATATAAATGATACTTTTTCTAAGGAAGAGAAGATTACGTCATCTTTAATGATATCATTCTGTGCGATACTTGGTTTGGGTGAAGTCATCTGGCTGGAGAGTGTTGGAACAATGCGAGGAAGCCATCAACTACATTATGATGCAATGCTGCTTCAAACGTAGCCGCTGGCAGCTGCTGGTCACATTATATTTGGAAGATTTGTTTTCGTATTGTTTCAAACTATGTCTGCTTTGGATTAGTGTAGTAGGAGGTTGTGCGTTCGTAGCTCTCACGGCGTAGTCTGCTGCATGACCACACTGTGCTGTGTAGGTGGGATTGTGAGGACGGCATGCTATAGTCACTGCGCTGAAAAACCACTGGAGCCTCACTGTACGTCACCGTGGGATTTGAAATGAGTCATTTATTTAGCTCTTTGCACCCGCTCAGTTAAAAGCTGTTAATTTGATTGTGAAACCTCAGTTTGTTGCACTCAGCGTTCCTCACCTGCACTTTCCCCCAACAGGGTCCTTTTTCATATCTAACAACGCCTGTTTATGCATGTCAGTAATAAACTGCACTGTTTACATCTCTGAGTTCTCTACTAAAAAAAAATGGAAGAAGAAACAAATGATTACATTAATGTTTTAATTAAAGTATGTAAAATGTTTTTTAAACTGAAATCCATCTATATATATATTAAGCATGTGGTTACTACTTTGAATGTGGGAAAAGTTTACCTGAAATTAGTAAATACACAAACATTTAGTGAGTCATGTCTGAATAAATGTCTTAAATCTCTTCCCCTTAAACACAGACAATATTGTTCATATGTAAAAAAAATTCACATACAGTAAAGTGTGTAACGCAGAGAGACCAGAATACTGTCATGAAGTTACACCGCCACCTAGTGGCAGCTTTTAGTAAAGTACTCGAGCATCTGACAACCATGTGTTTCCAATATGTCAGTACATCAATTGCACACTCTAAATCTTTGTATTAAAGAACTATAAGAGGGTGTTGTGTTTTAAAATCTCCATTAATGCAATTCCCATGTTTTATGCTTGTTATTTTTAATTTCTTCTGCAGAACACCCAGAGGATAAGCAGCTCCCAGGCCGCCCAGCAGCTGGCCACTCCAGTAGTGTCTGTCACCACCCCCAGCTTACCCCCTCAGGGTCTTGTCTACTCGGGCATGCCCACCTCCTACAACCCTGCTGGTGAGTCTGGCCTCGCTTCCCCCTCAGACTAACACAACAGCCTCAGCTGTGACTCTTTGTACTGTACACTGTTGGTTCTTGCTCTCTTCTCAGCAGCGTACAGTGTTGTAGCTGCAATGTGAGAGGAGTTCTCACTGTGTGTGGCTGCTTTTGTTTTTACAGAGTTCTCCCTGAGCAGTGCAGAGATCTCCTCCCTTCAGGGCTTCAGCTCTCCTGGGCTCTCGCTGGGCTCCATGTCGGCATGGCAACAGCATCAACTGGGCCAGGCGGCTCTTAATTCTTTGGTGTGAGTAACACACTTTCAAACAAAGGCACATTCTCCAGACACCCTCACATAAAAGCAACACCCACTGTGCTCTGTGATATCATGCTGAATCACACATTTACATGTTCCTGCCGTTGTTGCACCTCACTTTTGTAGTCTCTTCTTTTTTCCAAAACTGAACACAAAATGTTGTGCTTTTGTTCTCTGCAGTGGTGGAGGTCACCTACCTCAGGGCTCCAACCTCTCCATCAACACCAGCCACAGCATAAACATCAAGTCAGAGCCCATTTCACCGCCTCGAGAGCGTGTCACCCCCTCCGGCTTCCCCCCTCAGCAGCCGCAGCAAGGGTCCAGCCGACAGGAGGTTCTGGGACGTTCACCTGCCGACAGCCTCAGCTCCTCCTGTAGCTCTTATGACGGCAGTGATCGAGAGGACCACCGGCCAGACTTCCACTCCCCACTTGGGTTGGGCAGACCCCCAGCTGGCTCCGAGGACAGGGAGAGCCCCTCAGTCAAGCGCTTGCGCATGGACACGTGGGTGACATAAAGAGCCGGGATCAGGCCTCCAGTCACCAGCCAGGCAGAGAGGGGGAGAGGGAGGGGTGAGACATGGAGACAAATGAAAGAGCAAGGGTTCTTAGAGCTATCATTACTATACTATTATTCAACTCCATTTCAATTTGTAAGACTGAGTGGCAAAATGTTACAAAACATATCCACATAAATAATTCTCAACCTGAAGCAGGAAGATTTAAAAAAATCTCAGTTAGCTGGACTGAATAACGTGCACAAACAGGTGGTATCAGGTACTTGGTGCATTTCATATTTGCAAGTGAGGACGTTTAAAGAATAATTGTTAAACAATAAGTGGTAGATTATTGAAGTCACCGGTCTAGACAGACACTTACATGTAGTTGCTGTAATGCTGTTGTGCTTGCAAGTTGCAAACAAAATCTGAAAAATTGACGTCGCTTTCAAGCTGAGAAAAAACCCCTCGAATATGATGAACTATCTTTGAAATCATGCTGTAAGACAAGACCTTTAACTCAAGTGGCCTCGTCTCATTTATCGATCAGTTCATCAGGAAATACAGAGAACATGGAGTTAATTTATACTTTATACTGCCAGGATTTTACATGCAGTGAATTAAACGCAGCAGTTGAGACTACTTTAGTGATCAAATGAAACAGTACTGTTGGTGGTAAAACAAAAATAGCAACAGAATTATTGCAATAATGACATACTATCATTTTTTAATTTAAAAAGAGTAGGATATATAAATGTGCAATTAAGAGAATGCAAACCTGTCCAGTTGAACTGGTGAGAAAATCAACATGTTCACAATTGTGTAACAGTTCATCAGTAATATAAGCCAAAGCTGTTCTTTTGTGTTGTTTTGTACAGTTACTACAGTTTCACTCAAATGCACCGTTTCTTTCATCGTAGTTTTATATTTTATTGTGCTTCATCACAAACGGTGTAAGGTCATGTAAATCTGAATCAATATCTAAAGCCATGAACATTTGCTGTTCTGTTTGTACAAATGAAAATTTGAGCCAAACATTTTCCTCTGTTGTGTAAATAAGGACTTTAATATATATCACCAGGGTGATAGTACATACTGAATGTACTGTATAATCACCGTTTTCAAGAAAAGTATATTTTTGTGGATTACAGCCAAGTTTACAAGAGTAGACCCTTAAAAAGTAGATCATTCACTGGTCAATATTTGCTTTTTTCTTTTGTTAATTTACTGTAATCTCTTCAAAATTGAATATACAACATAACCTCCCATGTGTGTTACTTCCAGATGGTTGACTTGTTTTTTTTCCTGTCTTTATTAGTGGTGATTGTTTGTCCTGAAGACATTGTATTAACAATGCTGTGAGGTTGAAGTTCCACTTGTTTTCATATATTTGTGAAGGATGATCACAAGGCTAAGGGAAATCGGGAATAGGGTTTCTTCCCTTCTATTGTGGTAGCTCTTCTTAGTTGTATACCAGCAGCTGCTGAATACACTGCCAACATTCAAACCCAAGGTCCCAGCCCCACACTGAAGAATAATCTATTGTTACTGCATGTAGCTCATCTGAAAGACATGCCATCTCTCGAGCCCTTTTTCCCTATCCTGTTATTGGTTCATAGAATTTAAGCAGAGGACATATATGTGTTAGAATAGGCTGCCGACCTTCACTCAAAACAACATGCCTGTGCCCGTATGTGGTTGTAAATATTGCAGTCTACTTGAAATGTGAGTCATAATTATGTATAAAAACAAACTCATGTATTTCCTGAATTGACCGTGGAAATTGTATCTTACATCAATGCCCTATTACTTAAAAAGAGTACTATTGGATTGGGAACCTTAGAGCTAAGAGAAGTGATTATCCAAAGGAGTTTAATTCATGTACGATGGAAAGTGTCTTGCAAAGACAGAAGGGGGGGGAGGGGGGCGGGGGGGGAGGCAGTTGTGACTTGTTTTCTTCTCCATCCTCAAAGAAGCTAATAATTCAGCAGGTGATTCATCATTATAACATCGACAACAATGCAATGTCATTGACTTCAATCTCACTGCTGGATCGCACACATTTGTATGAGAAGTTTGCTGTACGAGAAAGGTATTACTCTGCATTCACTGTGACATATCCAGTGTGCTTTACTGAGGCTTCTGTTCTCTGCGACCCCCATCATCAGCACCATGCTAGTTCTCAGTATGCTCCCCTATTGATCTATGCAGCTTTAGCCCCCCAGTTCACGCTGACATTAAACAGACTATGATGTCCCGACAGGTCATTTTTTTGAGTCCACAGAGCATCAGGAAGAAGAGCATCTGAGGGTAGACTGTTAGTTTATAATCCTGAAGTGCCACAGCTGGACACTGCTGGACTAAAAAAAGTTCCATATGATACCTTTCATTACATGATTGATTTGAATAAACCCCCCAGAAGTATTTTCTTTTTCATATACATTTCTACAAAATACTTGACATTACAGTAATCCATAATACAATCAGGTTTAATATAGCTGGTTGAAATAGCAATAATGAAAGGCTACAACAAAAAAATGTCTGCCTTTTTCTGGCAGCACCACCTCCTAGTTGAGCACACACTTTAGCACTTAATAACATATCAGGGAATTTTCTAGTTTCTCTATTTACCGAATATGCACAGATAGGAAATGCCTTATCCCAAAGAAAAACGACAGATTTTTTTCATTTTATTGTCTTTCATTAAACAAAAAAAAAAAAAACACAAATGTATGTGAACTCGACCAGACCTGCCTCCCCCTCAGAAAAGACTCACACTCTTAACATGCACAGTGAATGCACTGTGATACACTTTGCTCTTTTGGGTCTTTGTCCAAATTGTGCACAATTGATGAATGTGAACGGAGATGGTAATCAATGAACCTTTGGAGGGACTTTTCTTCACTTTGCTGTGTAACAGTACACTGCTTTGCTTCATGGCTTTTATAAACAGAACTATGTGTTTGGTAAGTGTTTGTAGCTGATAGTTCACTTAACTGAAGAAGCTGTTTTCGGTTTGAATGCTCAGACCGTTTGGCGGCACAAGCTGGACTTTGTTGCCAATAATGAAATTATTTGTTTCCAAATCGAAAGATTTTAAGTTGACCTACATTTTATTTCCCTTGAATGTGTTATTTTATTTTCATCATACAATAAATATTCAAGTGAACTTTTTATTAAACAATTAACATACTATGCTAGATATTGTTGTACAAATTTGTATTCTTCACAAACGTACAAATATTGGCTTTTAATGTGTAATTTAGGTTATCTCTCTTATTCTGTATAAAATGAAGTAAACAACTCTTACATAGAATTTGTTCTCCTGTGAAGTCCCAAACAGTAGAAACTGTCAACTTTATTAAACACCTCAGTGTATGCTCACTTCGAACTTGATGTCTATCAATCTTTGAATTCTGTCTTTAAATTTCATTTTATAGACTGCATGCATCAGCTAGCACACTGAGGTCACTGTGATTGGCTCTCAAAAAGCGATGAAAATCACACTGTTTTTGCTGTAAAAATGTATTAATTTCTTCATGCAGAGGCCTATTAGTTATCTTATTAAACATAATGTAGCATCACTGCAGTTTAGAACAATGATCACAAGGGAAATCTTGCTTTTGAAACCTTAACTGTTTCAATGTTAACATTTTCAAAATGTAAAGAGTTATTATTATGATTTTATTTGTATTGTTGGGTTATTTTACCACCCATCAGAAGATGTGATGTTGTAGCTAAAGTCTAATATCTAAATCATATTTTAAAATGAAGAGATATTTCAAACGAAACATCCGAGCCTGTGAAGTAAAAAGTAACTGTCAGATATGGAAATATTTAAATGGTTGTAGGTACTCAACCTCAGTCTTGTTATTATGAGTTTCACCACGAGTGACAGCAGTGCTTTACAAGACGAGCCCATGCATTTCCACATTACCACCAGCAGGAGGCGCTGTAATACAAAACGTTAAACTGTAGTGTTGGTTTCCTGGCCTGCACACTTCCATGATACATTCTGAGGTAAGTTTGATTAACCATTAAAGCTCACAGGTTTGGAAAAGTTAAGAAATGTATGAACATTAGCGAAACACTACCTCCCTATCCAAGATAGCAGATAATTCACCGTCGACTGTGCCTGTTTGGGGGGCTGCAAATAAAATGTAGGCCTATATTATCCACAAGTGCTCTTGTGTTTTTTAAAACAAATAAGTTCAGTTTAAACTCTCAAATGTAGCCTACATGTTAAAATGTTAAAATGTAGGCTACCTGTGGTTAATTGAAATTAGAAAGATAGTGTCAAAGTAAAAAACGATAACTTAATAAGGCTACATTTTGCTAACGTTATAGTTACCTCTCTTGAATTGTGTCTTTTTGAACACACAGTGGGGAAAACACAACTTTTTAGGCTCCCTAGTATTTCCTCTTCAGTCTGATTTTTTCTAAAGGAAGAGTTCTGCGTTTAGCATTGCGTAAGGCCAGTGGATTTCCTTGTTAATGTTATCCAAATAACTAGAGAACAGAAGTTTGACTGCTCATTAAAAGCAGCCTATTTTACTTACAGTCGCTTGCCGGATTCTACATTTTGATGCTGAACTGAATAAGCATTTTAACATTGTTGCATTGCTGATGTAGCCTATGCATATAACACTTAGGCCACGCATGACAAATACAAAAAAAAAAAAAAAATGACTGCAAAGATAAACGGGTCTGGGTCAGCTGTGTCGTTTACAACCTTACTCTGTAATGTTTTCTTTTCACTGTGAAGGCCTTCATGTGCATTACTCAGTATTTGTCCCTCAGTGCATGTACTTGGCTTCCTCTCCATCAGACCAGCTGTGCTGCAGGCTGGAACAGCTCCAGTGTGCATGTGTAGAGTAACCAAGTAGGATTTGGGGCTGTTTGAGTTGTGTGAGAAGAAGGGCGACAGGCCACCTGCCATAGGGGCTTGCCCTGTTTTGGATCCCCAGCCCTGCCTTTCAACTGGAAGCCAAGTTTGGGGTGCTTTCATGTGGGCCTGATCTCTTTAAGACATCAGCAAATATTGAACAAGACTCAGTCCAGACTCAAACACATCTGTTGTCATACAGTCTCCACTGTTGTGCACCGGCAATGAGGCAGAGAGTGAACACCAGCGGGTCTGTTGCATTGGCTCCCATGTGTGGACAGAAAGCTAGAGTTTATACTTTGTAAACACAAATGCTCACTTTTGACGAGCTCGGGCTAAACCATGTTCCACTGTCAACAAAAATGTGGCTGCGTGAAAGAAATGGAGTCTGATATGACAAGGCGGCCCCCGAGCGCCAGATCCCTGCCGAAGATCGGGGGGATGAGATAAGATGAACAGATAGCCAACATTTCATATGCCTCAGCCGTGTCGTAGAATCCATCAGCAGTATTTTGGGTCTGTTTTGGACAGATAAGAAGGACAGTTGTATTGCAGAATTAGGCTAGATTATGGCATTAAGTATTTTATTTTTTCAAACACTTGGTCCTATGAAGAACCCATATTAGAGGAAGTGTAATGCATGCAAGTCTTAAAACTAACAAATAGCTCCACAAATGCAAATAAACAGCTAAATATTCAAATCAACATTAAACAGACTGTTCCTACTTGCTGTGCTGTGAGCAACTGTTTCATCGCTGTATCAGTGATTCAGTGTGTGTTTAATGTCTCAATGTCTTAATAGACTCAATATTTATCGTAAGATTTTCTTCTAATCCTACCATACAGTCAAAGGATCCCAAATATCTGATCCTAAAGTCAGTCTGTGTGTAGCTACAGACATAAAAAAAAGACTTTGGGAAGGGCTCATCACTTTTCTCTGCTAGCGTCAAAGTCGTTGAAACTCACCTGGTGAGACAGGTATGTCAGGTTTCACCCAGTTTCGCCTCTCCACCAATCAACTGTCCTCTAGCAGGAAAGTCAACTAGCTACATTTTGTGTTGCTGTAGCACTTCCATAATAGTTAGGATGTTTGAGCCGCCTCTCAGGAAAAGTACTGCTTCCCTCAGTGGATACTAACTCAGTGTGTCGGTTTGCTGGACAGGTAAAGTGAAATGTCTTTTTGTCTTAATTTTGACTTGATACATTTGTAAAGTTATGCCAGTTAGTGAAATTCAGGTGACGTTTTATTTCCTCAGAAAATGTATTTGAGATCATATGAAAGTGTCAGGACTAAGTAAGATCTGATAATGTAGCACCTGCTCTGACGTGGTATTTGTTGAGACCTGTACAGAAGTCGTCGAGGAAAAGACTTGACTCCACACAATAAGACTCAGTTGACTCAGATGGAAGTCATGAGAAGAATACTCATGAGGAGACATGATTCAACATCACACTTTTGTACTCGTGTCTTGCTCAATCACATCTGCTGAACTTTTTTCGAAAGGCATCGCATATATCCCGAAAGACGTTACCATTATCAGGGCCACATTGACCCACCTAGACTAATCTGTGACGTCGATTACACTGACAGACAACAAGTCTACCAAACATCCTTGCAGATATTAGGTAAAACCGTTGACACTCTCTTAGCTGTACTTGGTGTCACTCTGTCAGGTCTGACTGACGTTAGAGAACAGTGAATAACCATAATTATGTCTGTACATTATCATCTAAATAGCTACAGAAGTTCCACCACAGAAGTAAGTAATGCAAAGAATCTTGATGTCCCTGTTTGTTTAATTTTGTAATCCAAAAAGGAATCGGTCACGATGGATGTTAAGAAAAAGACCTTCTTGGAGAACTTGAGGCTGAAAACCAAGTTGGCCAACCTGAAGAAGCCCCGCAAGAAGCCGCTCGCCAAGCAGGGGAGGAGGCTGGTCCATCGGCGCAGTATATCTGTACCAGACTTAAGGTTTGTGCCAGGTGAATCATACACAGACAGCGCCTTGGGGTCCACTGCCTCAGATGCCAACTTCTTTGGCATCTCTCCGGGTGTGAGTGATAATGATTCAGTTTCAAGTGGTTTGACTGCTGATGGACCAATTTTCATGAACGATTTTACCCCAGTAACTCAGAGACTCAAAGTTCCCAGGGATCCCACTGTGGCTGCTTTCAATAGAGCAAGTGCACCTGCAGAATCGTTCGCCCTGTATGAGGACTTCAGAGAAAGGATCCATTCAGAGAACAAGGTAATGACAGACAGCGTTGATGCCCCACCAGATAGAGAAGCCGAGGGGAATGCGCTTAAGTTTACTTTTGACCCTATTCCTGCACCAAGATATGTTCTTTCACCGAGACAAGACAGAGTGGAGAGGGAAAGTCACTCTGCTGAAGACTCCTCAACAGACAGGGTGCCTTCAAGCGCTGTTGTTGCAGCGATTGCCAGAGCGAGCTCACTTGGAGAACGAGAAAGCCCTTACCCAGAAAGGAGGCCCGCATCATTTGAGCCGAAAAGGCCGTTATCTGGATTAGGGACGCCGCCAAGAATCAGAGACAAATCTGCTGCAGAAAAATTGTCTCTGGTGTTGGATACTCTGGAAAATACAGATGGTACCTCTCCGGACTCTGCCTGTGGCACTCCTAACGAGGATCCGGTCAACATGCCCTGGACGACAGACTCGACAGAGGAACTGGAACGAGAACCTTACTCCCCCCTTTTCGTTAAACAGTTTGAGAGGGAGGAGGCTTGGCTGGAAGACGCCCAGGAAGAAATTGAGGTTAGTTTTATACCAATTGAAATCCCCTACATGTATGATCAGAGAAAGTTGTTTTTCGTTAAGTTGTATTTTTTTGGCAATTTTTGCATTTATTAAATTGGACATTTGCTCTGAGAGAGTGGGGGATGAAATGCAGCAAAGGGCCAAGGCCGGATTCGAACCCATGACGGCAGACTATGTACATGGGGGCATGCCACATAACCGCTATCCAATGCCCAAATGTCATTTGTTGTTGAAGTCTGCCAGCACTTTGAATCTTTTGTATTCACCTATCAACTTTATTCTCTTTTTTGGTAAAAAATGAAACGGATTCAATTCAAGACTAATCCAGATGTGGGCAAAAACAGCTTCTTAAGAACTCCAACTTATATTACTAATCAAACGTATACAAGCTCTGGTGCCCTTAAAATATAAAATATGATCTGAAAGAGTTTGTGTTGAATAATAATAGTATTATATTTAAAAAAAAAAAAACATACATACAAACATAGGCTATATCTTGTTGTAAAAAAAGTTTGGCAACACCTCGTTTACTTATTTAGTTTCATGTGATATACTCTCACACTGGTCATATTTGCATAGTTATATTTCACTTTCAAATATTTTTCCTTTCCCCCCCCTCATACTTCAGCTGTAAAACTCAGAGTGGCCCTCAGCCAGGCAGCTTCTAGAAATTCCTTTTCAAAGTCTGAGTTGAAATGTTTTTTTTTCCCCCTCTCTCACATAAACACTAGGATATGTAAGGGACAAAAACAGTATAGGTATATCTGACTTGGGGTATTACAAGACTGTTGTGTTCTTTTTTTTTTGTCCAGATGCCTTTGAGATACGGAAACTATTCAAGAACCTGTGTGTCTAGTTAGAGGAACTCTGTCGTACAGAAAGTATGCAAAACCACCGATAACATCTCACCTCGCTGTGCTGTTGAAAATGTTTACTGCTGTGCTGCTGACCAGGTTTTTGTCTCTGAAGAACATTAGCTGTAGTCACTAGGAAACCTTTGAGTATGTTTTAAAGTAAAAAAAACAAAACATTTCAAAGAACAAACCTTTAAAAAAGATAACCTGGACAACGGGATTGTTTGCGCACCCAGATATTTTAGCCTCTCTGTACTGAAGTAAAAGTTAGCATTTTACTGTTTCATAATATTAAATCACAACCTTTTTCTCATCTAGCTGTCCAGTGAGCCCTGTGATTTGTTCGATGAAAATCTGCAAGATCCCCTGGAGAACTCTTTGCCAGCAGGGCCTGAGTTTCAAGCACCCCAACCATTCCAGAGATATCTCCTGGACATCAACCTAAAGCAGGGGAAGAACCTGGTCATCCGAGACAAGCGCTCTGGTAGGTCAACAACCTGTAGGAGATCCGTAAGGCCTTATAGCTGTTCTCAGTCTGTGAGTATCTGTCTCACATGGATCTTTAGCAGATAATTACTCCCTTTACAAGCGAACATCAAGCTGTTGTCTTGACTGTGGGGACTTTTTGAAAACCCCTTTTGGATCAGAGCAGATCAAGAGATATCATATCAAATTTCTTGTAAAGAAAGCGGTTCTTTTGAGTGTTGGCTTAAGATTGAGCCTTTGATGAAACACTGCATGTATACATACAATGCCTATACATCGTGGTAATCTTTCAGTGCTTATGAACCAGCAGACAGTTGAAAGTAGAGAATGGGAAAATGTGTTATTGTGTATAAAGGCAAGATGGGCTGTGTTCAGTTAATGCCTCTGTTTACTTGTAAGGATGACGTCTCATGTGAAGTTCCATTTGTACAAAGAAAAAAAAAAACCACTACAGAAGAATGCAGTCAGACCAGTATGACGAAAGACAGACTGGTATCAAGAAATCAATACTAATTAAAGAGAACACACAATCTGTACATGAAACCGCGGGTATTAAAACTTGGTTTAACAACTGATTTTAAAATGGCATGCCAGATGCAATAGAAGAGGACCCTTTGCCAATCTTAATTGGCAATCACATCTATAATTAGACTGATGGGCTATCTGAAAACAAAGCCTTTGTCTTAACAAGGAAAAGTCATTATCACTTATCCCACAAAATACATTGTGCACTATTTTGTTTATGTGTTCAGGTTTGATGTTAAAATTCAGATTTTCTTTCTAGTCCTGCAGATTATTCTAAAGTGCGTTTGGATTATTCATTTTATTTGATTATTATTAGTACATTTTAGACATTTTGTAAAAACAATCATCAACTTTGAAAGACAGTTTTGAATTTGACACGTTTGAGTACGTTTATGTTCATGACTTCAGATTTATTACCCTTTGAAAATGATGTTGACCCGGTTAAAAGAAGATAGAAACACTGGTCTCAATTAATCAGCTCTGGGGAAGCAGTGACACCCGGTGGCCTCAAATGGAACTACAACATTTTTTAGTAAAATCACATGTTGTCCCTTACTAGACCTTACTTGGACTGATGAACTTATTCTATAGTTGAAACTGTTATATGACAGAATTTCATGCTACATAAATCTTAATCCATTTAAAAATGTAAAACCTGTAGGGTGGTCACAGCCCCTCCAGGCCCAGTTCCCTACTCCCTGCTAGTTGAGACCTTACTTTCCCTGACAAGATGGCACCAAGATGATGCATTCCCCACACGCCCCCTGTCTCTCCACTGTTTGCCCAACAATCAACCCCGTGCCAAAGGCTTACCAATGGCATACATTGTCATTACATATTCTAAAAGGACCCACGCCACCAGCCCCCACTCCTTAGTTTTTTGTTCTCGCCTTTTTTTTCCATTAATTTCCATCGTCACCGTTCTCAGTCATGCCAGAGCTTTTCTCCTTGCTAGCTGCCACATTCTCCTCCTGTCAAGTTGCCTGGAGGTTTCCCTGTCACAGGCTGGCAGGGTGGAGCTGCTGTGGGTCCTGCCTGCCTTTGCGAGATGTTCATTTGGAGTGGGGAGCTGACAGGCCTGACAGCCCATCCCCACAGGGCCTTTGTCATGTGATTCAAGCCTCCCTGCAGGCTCTCTCAAGCACCCCTTTATTCCTCTATACAAATGAAGGCATGGGACTGGCTTTCATTTTTTTGGCCAATCTGCATGCAATTGCAGAAACAAAGAAGTCCAATACCCCCACTCTGCTCACAGACAGACTTTCTTAACAGGCTCGGGAGATTAACACTGGTTGCTTCTCCATTTTGGTTTGTGGTTGCCTCATGCTGGCGAGTGTTTCTACTCTTTCACAATTAAACAGCTACATCACTCTGTTTTTGCCATGTGTGGGGTACACCTCATTCTCACATACCTCCGTTTCTCACACGGCTTGCATGGGGGGCGGACGTGTAGGTGGATGTGTTTTCAATGTGTGTGCTTTCATACATACTTTTATCATTTGAAAATGACAATATGTCCTCCAAAAGGATAAACAGTTTGCATTAAATATTTCACTTTCACCATGAATTGCCATGAAATGACGTGTGTATATGCTGGGATTGTTACATAACAGTTAAGGTAATTACCACTTGTGTCAGACAACATTAACTTGCTCTTTTTTTTTTCTATTCAATTTAAGGTACCAGTGATCCTTATGTGAAGTTCAAACTTGAAGGAAAGCAGCTTTATAAAAGCAAAGTGGTTTATAAAAACCTGAATCCACGGTGGAACGAGTCCTTTAGCTATCCTCTTCGTGACAGGGAGCATATCGTGGACGTCCGGGTAGGCATTGTTTGTTTGAACAGAAGTGCATTATCGTAGGTCACGTGGCAGAAAACACAAATTCAGTTTATAATCTCACGGATGTTTGTTATTTTCATTGCAGGTGTACGATAAGAATCGGACTGCTGACGAGTTCATGGGCTCCAGCATGATTCCTCTTAAAAATCTTGAACTGTACAAGTATGTAAATATATATTTTAAAATTATTTAGAGAATACATGATCATAAGGATATTACTCAGTGTTCATTCCTTTTTGTTTTTCATGCCTTGTCTGTCTCCTTAAAGAACCTATGAATTGGAGCTGCATCTTGATGATCCAAAAAGTAAAGAAAATGACATGGGAGTAATTATTGTTGAAGTCTGCCTAATGTTTCGAGATGCCACCGTCAAAAGAAGCCCTGTAAGATTATTTCCGTGATATGACAAGTTTTTCTTGATGCAGTTTTTGTTTTGTCCCTACAGTCTTATTTGAGAAAAAATTGAACTGATTTATGTAATTGTTTTTTTTTTTCTTTAGAGATGGCCACAGCGAAAGAACAAGGTATGGATTTTATTTATCATAACATTTATTTTAAATGGAATTTCTAAAATAGTTTATAGAAGGCCTAAAGTATTCTTGAATCCGGCTTTACATTTGCCTTAATCCTGACCACTAGGGGGCAGTAGCTCACTGTAATATGATGCAACAAAGAATGAGGTGTATGCTCAGGACTCAGGCTTTTGTGTGTAACCTTGGTTTCAGCACAGCCTATTTCTTTTGTGGTTTTATTTTGATCCATTTTTTTTTTTTATTCGCAATGCATATTATTTTCATTGGTATCATTTTCTGGAGGGAAAGTATAGCACAGTATTACACTCTGATCAAAACCATAATAATAATATTTACTGAATACATTGTCATGAAAGAGCCCTTAGATGAGTGCTATAGAGCTGTATTTGGTTTTGTTGTAAACAAAGTTCCATTTCCTCTCAAGTGGTTTTCAATATATCGCAGCTGTAATTAGATTCAGAGTGAAATTGGAGGGTTGCTGTTTGGGACTTGCACTGCAGCGAGTGGGTTTATATTCACACCTATGTAGTCACTACATCTGCCACTGTTCAGTCTCTTGATGGTCCAGCCGACAATCTCAATTTGAAATGAGATGACAAAGGAATGAAGCCTTTTTTCATACACATTGTAGGCTATCCGCTACAGATGGTTAAAGATACTCAAAGGGAGAGGGGAAATGTGGGATGGGGCTCTTCGCGGTGTTCTGCTGCCTAAATCACAGTGCTAATTTAACAACGTAACAATGCCATTTTTTTTTTTTCCTGGTTCATTTTTGACAAACGTACAATATCTTATTGCATTTAACACCTATCCTGGAAGTGCTGAATACCCAGCTCTTACAGCTCCACTCCCCCTCTTTCTGAACATCGTTTTCTCCCTCTGTGTTACCACCACAGAGACAGGGAATGGCAAGTGCCTAAGTTAAAACTCTGCTGTGTGATAGTGTTTCAAACAGGAGGGGGTGTATGGGAGAAGTGGGAGAGGGGTGGGGGGGGGGCTCTGCTGTTCAAGGCATGTTGCCAGTGCGGGATGCCTAAGATCTGCAACGCTGATAATTCCCAGGCATAGTGGGCAATAACCCAGATGTTAGGATGTAATATCACAGCTGTGGATGGACAGTGCTGAGGTACCAGCCAAATGGACCCGGGTCTGAGCTCATCGTGCTTGTCCCCATGCTGTCCCACCATATGGAAGCAATCGCGCAGCCCTTTTAGGACCAGGAATAGATTCTCTTTAGGGGCCACTTACAGTTAAGTGGAATTGTTTTATTGGCCGCTGAGATAGAAATGTGTCCAAGATAAACACTTGGGATGACTTGGCTGAGGCCTGTTTTATATCGCTCCTCCACTCCCTCTGTTCCTCTTCTTTTGAAGGGGGCTGATATTTATAGGGCTGCGCCTGTGGTATTCCATGTTAATTCAGGTCCCTGAGACGTGCTTTGATCCCCTCCGGATTGGGTGGCAATGTGGGTTGCGACCCCGTAGTGAAGAGGAGGGGCCGGAGTGGCAGGGGAGTTGTAGCAGGGCCGTTTGAAGCAGCGTCGCTGGGGCAGTCGAAGGAGCCGGGCAATCAAAGAGGCTAGAGCAGATTATGGCCCTGCTCTTTAATTACAGTCAGCCCTACACCACCTCTCTGCTGTTTGTTTTTACAGCCCTGGCCTATCACCGCATGGCCTCATGGGAACTCTAACATGGAAACATATCAAGGCCTCTCTCTCTCACTCCCTCTGTGACACAGGACAGGAAAAGTGGATTATTTGCTCGGCTTGTCCTTCATTGCCAAAGAGTCCTCCAATGCACAGCGTCATTTTTTTGAGTGTTAGAGTTTAACTTAGGCCGAGAATATTTTTTATTCAGCTAGTTAGATTAAAGTTAGATGACCAACACACTAAAAAAATAAAATAATCTGAAGCAGGCCATACATACTGCATGTATGCATAATTTGCTGATGAGAGAGCTGTGTGGTTTGCATCATTACTCACTGCTGCCTGCTGTCTCTGGTGCAGTATGCCAAGTGTCCTGCCTCCCCACACTCAGTCTGTGAGCCAGTGATGAGTGGGACTGTCACACTCGGGGACATCTGGCCGCTTGCTGACGTCCCTCTCTTCCTCTCTCTCTCTCCAGGAGCCTCTATGGTGTGGCTCGCCTGTCAGTAGAGAGGTGCTAATGTTCTCCAACAGAGATGTGCTGTATAGTGTAAACCTTTGTCCTAGTTTAATGAACTCTGTTGAACATGATGAGGTGCCAGTGCTGAGGCACGAGCAAGGCAAACAGAGGGGAGTGAGTGCACGGGGCTTCCTCACACATGGTGCTTCTAAAAAAAACAAAAAAAAAACAAAAAAAAACTATAACTGTCTGACTTTGCCCTGCAGCAGAACCAGGCCCCACCAGCTCAGCGGCTGGCCGAAACGCACAAGAATCAGCTGAAAAACCAGACGTGGACTGGGGTGCTCAATATCGCCTTAGTGGAAGGACAGGACCTGCCTCAATACGGCAACGGGGACGTTTACGTCCGCTTTCGCATGGGTGATCAAAAGTACAAGAGCAAGGTTGGACTTTTTTTTTAAAGTATTTCCCCACTTCTACAACTCGTTTCTCATGCTCCTGGGTCTTTTAAAGTCTTCTCTTTATACTTCCAAGTCTTCTCCCAGCCTCTTCCTTTTACCTCCCCGCTTCTCTCTCTCAGCAGGTGCCTGTCAGTGACTCACCTCCACCTTGGCTCACTGGGCCATGGCAGAGGCAGCTCATTAGACTGGGCAAAGCTGCCACTCACTTCTCCCTGTGCTTCAGGCGCTGGGCTTCATTGCCTTAATTTGCATACCCAGCATGCCCTGTTCATCTACCTGTACTTGTTGGCCTCCCCCCTGATGATTCCTCGCCGCACTTGTCTTGTGTTGTCGTGTTATTTCTTTGTAAACCTTTCTGCTTTCCTCTCCGCTTGTTTGTTTGTTGGACAAAGCTGATTCTAATTGGAAGCTGTCAGTGTTTACAATCCCAGAGTGGCTACTGAGGTGTACACATACAAGCACACACGAAATAGAATACACACTCTCAACACACCTCTCTTTCTCCTCTCCTGCTTCATTGTGGTCGGAGTGAAAGAGGACTTAATCCACCTGTCAGGAAGTAGCTTCTCTGTCGGATAATGCATTAAAACTGACATTGGCATCAAAGTGTGTGTGTTTCCATATTACTGTATGTGCTGAACCGGTGTCTTTACTGCCCTCAGAGCCTCTGCATCCAGGCCAATCCCCAGTGGAGAGAGCAGTTCGACTTCAATCAGTTTGAAGATAAGGAACATCTGCAGGTGGAGGTCTTCTCAAAGAAAGGGAGGAAGTGTGAGGAATCATGGGGGATGTGAGTATTTCCAGGTGGATAGTGTTAATTTTGCTCATATTGGCCTGAAACACATAAGGCAGACCTAGTTGGCCTCATGTGTTTCAATGGAACTATTTTCCTTTTGTGTCAGGTTTGAGATTGACCTATCGAGACTTCCACTTAATGAGAGGCAGCTCTACACTCATGTCCTGGACCCTGGAAAGGGCAGGCTGGTGTTTCTGGTCACCCTGAGACCCTGCTGGGGAGTCTCCATCTCTGACACTGAAACAGCTACCTTTGAGAAGCCTGATGAGCGCGACAGCGTGGTGGAGAGATTTGTAAGTTCTGTTTTATTTAAGTTCGTTGAAAGGTAATTATCAAGAATGCAAATGAATGGTCTATAAAATCAGTAGCTATCCCCCACAAATCTCTGTTTAATAAAACGTTTTCTTTTTCCAGAGCTTGAAGAATTCATACAAGACAGTGGGGGAGGTTGGCTTTCTGCAAGTCAAGGTCATTAAGGCAAATGATCTTCCTGCAACAGACCTCAATGGTAATCAAAAACTTGCTTCTCTGTTTTCCATTCTCATAGTCTTGGCTCTCTCTTTACATAAAAGTCTAACCCTTTTTTTTTTGTTGTTGTCATTTTTCAGGAAAAAGCAACCCCATATGTGTAGTTGAGCTTTCAAACGACAAACTTCAAACTCAAACTATCCACAAGACCCTGAATCCAGAGTGGCACAAAGCCTTTACCTTGTGAGTAAAACATCTCGGAAAAAAAGAACTTCTGCGTTTTTTTCTCTGTTTATTTGTTGTGAATAACAAGTTTATCATTTCCTCTACATTTCAGTCCAATCAAGGACATTCATGATGTGGTCGAGTTGACTGTCTTTGATGAAAATGGAGACAAAGCCCAAAACTTTTTGGGGAAAGTGGCCATTCCATTACTGACTGTAAGTGGAGGTTTTTTATGTTTGGCCATTACATAACTTCTGTGACTGTACATGACTTGCATTTTATTATCTAATGTACACAATATAAATTATGCATACATTGTTAAAGGTCCAGAATGGGCAGGAGATCTGTCTGTTCTTGAAGAAAGAAGACCTGGGAAGTGTCTCAAAAGGAACTATCACACTGGTGCTGGAGGTTATTTATAACAAAGTAAGTATCTAATTAAATATGTAAGAGCTTGTTGAAAAGGTGGCAGCTTACTGCAATTTCAAAATACGAGTTATACTACAGTATATTTATTTCCTTATTTCTCCTCAGGTCAGAGCTGGCATCAGAACCTTCAAACCGAAGCAGTCAAAACCAACCGAGGAAAATGTGAAGTTTTCCAAAAAGGTTATCTCTATTGACTTTTTTTTTTTAGCAGAATTTAGCAGATGGAACAAAAAAAAAAGCTTGCCAGTATGTTTCTCTCACATCCAAGTGATAAAGTAGCCACAACAAAGCCATACATGGTCATAGTTTGGATCGGACATAGTCAAACTAATTACTTTAATTGGCTTTAAACATTTAATTTCACGAGTGGCAAGTAAGGGGATTTGCAGCTCCTTCAACCTCATTGCTATGTCATAAACATTATGTCCAGTATCAAACGATGCTAACCAGCGTTTTGTTCCAATTATTTCCCATTAGGTTCTCGCCCAGAATATATATCGGGTTCGAAAAATCAGCACAGCAGTTCTGTACACGTTACAGTACATTAAAAGCTGTTTTCAATGGGAGAGCACGCAACGGAGTCTAATAGCCTTTCTGGTAAGTCATTGCCTTGCGTTAATGAACTCTCTTTAAGCCTTAGGGCGAACAAGTTTTGTCCCATTTCACTGCAGCCCTGTTTTTAACTCTTTCATTTTATGTGAATTAGATGTTCTGGAAAATCTTTGGTTTAGCCGTTTTCTTGCTGCTAGTCTTTTTCCCATGAAAAAAAAAAACAATGGCTGCCTTCTGTTTTTATCCCATGCGTATGTGATGGATGTGCTTTATCCTTTAAATCAAACCCCACTTGGCTTTCCCTTCAGTTCTGATGACATTAGAGTGCATTTGAAGGGGTGGGGTTTGGGCGTTTGTACATCTGACTTCTTTGCAAAGCCTCCTGACCCCGGGGACGGTGTAAGGAGGATCACAGTCTCAGCTTCCTTGGGTGGAGGAGTGACAGTCTGCCTCCGAGATTTGAACCTTGTTTAAATGTCTCTGTTTAGCAGATTTTAATGAGGGTATGTGATCTAAGGTCCTAAGCTTAAATAATCTTAAATCACCCTGTGAATCCCCCTCCGTACAGCACATGTAATGTCATGATTAAGAGTGTACACTTGCCTTGAAAGCCCTGCCAGCGCCTTGTCAGGGTGAGGAAGCGGTCACAGACAGGGTGTGTGAAGAACTCTCCTTTCACCGCCTCTCTTCTGTCTGCTCTGTCTCAGAGTGACATGCAATTCATACCTGGTGTATTCTATAAGCCCTTCTCACTGATCCTGAGGTGCAAATCCCCCCAGGCAATGGCCGGGCTCAATGTATCACAGCCTTTAGAAGAGACAGACAGGCAGACAGACACACAGTCAGGAAGACGGAGAACAATGCAGGCGATTGTATAAGGATAGAGTGGGAGGGAGGCTACTATCTGGGAAAGAAAGTTAGAGCAAAGAAGGAGGGAGACAGTTCGCTTAGAGTGCGGTCTATGAAGGCAGATAGCGAGGAGCTCGGAGGCAGGGATATGGGCAGGAGAGCGGGAGGATAGGCAGGCTGACAGGTGACAGGTCAGCGGGATGGGGGCCATCTTCCTCCACCTATAATTAGATCCTCCGCGGGCGATGGGAGTGTGTGGGGGCACACTCTAATCTTTCATTTCCACTTCAACTCCACCTGCTGTTTAGGACTTGGGCACACAAATAGAGATCTTAGAATGAAGTGAAAAAGACTCACACACTCACTAGTTTCATCCTCCTGATACCTATTGTTACTGCAGTGCACAGATATTCCGATCTTATTTTCTTCACAGTTGTGCGTCAGCAGGCTGCCTGTCAGTGCAGATGGTGGGCTTATGACATTCATTTCAGCTGCTTTGTCCTTTTATTTAGAACAACTGCTCAGTTTTGTGGCACTAAAACCAGCACACTGTTATTGTCTGCTTTTAAAAATATATCAAGCCGAGTAGTCAGAGCAGAGCTTTTCGTCTGAGAAGAGGTGTGCTTCAAAAAAGTCTAAGTGTCGAAGGTGCATGGTGAGAATTGCCCAGAGTGAATCCGCTGCTGTATATTCATCACCCACTCATCAGCGAGACTGAGAGTTCAATGAGTGAAAAGTTCTTCTTTTCATTGAATGATTATATTCTAAGCAAGTAACCAGCACACTTAAAACATGCACATCACTTGTGTATATTTCATGTAATTGATAGTAACAAGAAAAAACTTTGAACTCGTGCTTCCGTTTAGCAGTCAGTGAGGGCAACAACAGGGTCTTCACTGACTGTCATTACAAGCCAAGTGCCATGCCATCATCCACACTAGTGGCCTTGCCCACTCGAAGGCGAGCCACTTCCTCCTCCTCCAAGTCATCATTTGCAATTAAGTTAGTGTTTGGAGCTGTCTAAAGAAGCATGCCACCGTGTGCCTTAATGAAAGCAGCTCCCACTCCTATCTTTATATCTTTAGGCAGTGGTAATAAGGTAACTGATTCAGACATTGACAGATGGCCTCTGCTTGCCTCTCAGATGTGTATAATTATACCACTAGTGCTTGCTCTTTTCCACAGTGGCAGGCAGCGCAGGGCTTCTCAGGGTATGCCAGTAGGAAACGCTGCAGTGGTGGGTCTAGCTTTAATATACATTACAATACATTATTTATCAAGCCGGCAGACCAGTCCTACCCTTTTACACCATATACATCCTGTAATGCATTACCGCTGCTGTGGTTTCTACTGGGACTGCGGGACGCTCGCGTAGTGCTTTACCAGGAATACTCAGCCATTATATCACTCAGTCCCACAGGCCAATTTTCTGACCTCCACGCAGCATGCAGTCTACATTTGTATCCTGTTTATGTAGATTTCGTGTATGCATTATGAAGTGGTTGTTGGTGTGTGGTGTGTAAGGTATTCATATTTTGCATGAGGGATCACTGCTCAGGTTCACATAAACCAAGTGAATGGGAAAAAAAATAAACAGTTTTTTTTTTTTTCCCCCTCAGAGAAGTTTTCTTTGTTCTTATCAAGATAACTTTTCCCTCATGAGCGGCATTTAGAAAACTTCACACGGCGGAACATTTAAAATTAGCATTTACTGGGGGAAACCTTGCATAGAATTGAAATATTTGCAGTGTTGTTAGTGTTTCCAAGTGCAGGAGGTTACCTGTTTTGATTGTGCAAACTCATCTGCTGAGTCCATTCTGTTTGAAGTTTCCTTCCATTTTTCAACCAATGGGAAGCAGTTTTAGAAATGTTTCTTTAATTAGGTAACAAAAAAAAGCAAAAGAGAACTTTTTCTCACGCGTTTATACAAAGTTCTGGCAAATCCTCATAAACATTTTCATCAGTGGACGGAAATCCAAACAAGAAATTTAGATTTTTTTTTTTCCCTCCATCCTCTTGTTTATGCTAGAGTAATGAGCCTGGGATCTGCACTTTCAATAGTTTGACAACAGCATGTTCCTTTCTCTGAGAGAGAGAAAATGTGACAGCTAAAATCTTCATAAAATAACCGTCTTTAGATGTGCTTTTCACTAACACTGAGCGAGATGAATGTGCTATACATCAGCAGTGACTGCAGAGGGGTCACCCAGAGTTCTTTGCTGCACACAAGAATAGGACCTGTAGATGGAGCTACAGCACTGCTGGAAACATGAGTGGCGGCGCTGTGGAGATCGCTTACTTTTCCCCCAACAAGAGCCATTTGTGGGAACAACTTGGGAGTGAAATCCTCCATTCTGTGCATTAAAACCAAGAGACAAGTTTCCTCAACAACAAAAAAGTAAGGGGGAACAAATCTAAATGAGCATGAATTAGCCAGCCAAATTAATCTGCTTCAGAAGTTAAAAGTTGAGAACAATTTTGATTTAGATGAAATGGAAGGGAAAAAAAAAACGAAAAAGGATCATTTACACTTGAAAGCTGATTTTGAGCTTTGCTGTCATTAGAGCGCTTTAAGTATTTAAGTAGAATTAATATTTTAACATATGAGGAACCTCATCTGTCAGGAGTTAAGACTAGAAAGAAACCTGTATACCTTATGTGAGTATTTGAACCGTTTTCTTTTTGACACTGCCAGGTAGCAACCGCTTTAGACATCGTTTGACAGCCTGTGAAATGCTGATTGCCTCACATCATACACTGTAAAGATGGCATTTGATGAATGTTTGATGCGGTGCAGCTGTAAACACACTTGGCAGCTGCTGCGGGCACTTTTTTTTTTGTTGGGAGAGATGATAGAATTGTCGTCTGCCCAGAGGAGGGCAGAACAGGGTCAGATCTGGCTCCAGAGGTCTCAGGAGACCACCTGTGCTGAGCCTCAGCAGTCGGGGCCATTAGCCAGAACAGCAGCCCAGCCGAGATCAAAGCCGTAATCAGACTTGTCATAATTGTTCTTGTTAACACTGTCCCTGAAAATGAGATCCTTTTGTGAGTCTTGGATCTGCCTTATTTGTGTTTTTTTTACTGCAATGCAGTGTGGCCGTGCTTTCTGTGAGAACACTGAGAGAACCGTGCCCGCCTGTGAGTTCTCTCCTTGTTTCTGCTTTTCATCTCTTTTGTCTCTCTTGGAAAAAAGTTAGAGGCCTTAAAGGAGTGGGTTTCTTCAGTCCCGTGGGGGTTGCACTCGCCATCTCCCTGGCTGTGGGAGTTCTCACAGACTGCAAATGTGTTGAGTAGTGGAAAAAAAAAAAAGATCTGAAATCTATTAATTATTAAATGATAGGCTATGACTACTTGCGAATGGCCAGCACAGCCTCCTGATTTAACACAGTGTTATTATTTAGCTGCCCTGAATGACTGTGTGTCAGCTGACAGCTCTTTGGGTTGGCTCAACGCTGTGTGTAACCTTGAAACATGTCCCCTTATTAGTGGGATTAATAAGCCTTCTCTGGTGATATTCACTTCATTAGAGCTGTGAAAATCTCCCCATTTTCACTTCTTTAAGGACATGGATTTCAGTTTTGAGAACACATTTGATTTAATTGAAGTGAATCACATCATTATTAGTAAGCATTATTAAACAGCATGAAGTAACTTTTAAGAACAAACAAGTGTCGAGCCTTCAGATTTATTATAGCTGACTGAATAAAAGTGTTGCCTCCCGAGGAGCGTTTTTTTATCCGTGCATCTGCTGCGCTTGTTCTTGTACTGATGCTTTGTTTAATGCATGCTTCAGCCTAGATGAAGTATGCTCTGTGTTTAACCCCAATGTGTGCCATATCCTAATGACTGCCTTTAACATACTCACCACAATCCTAGTCACAGAGGACACCGCTCCCCAGGCAGCTGAGGCGGCGACCTGTCCGCCCTTGTGCGTGGCTGTTCCGGGGACCGGTCTTGGCCCCGGCGCGTTAACGTGCATGTGAGCCGAGCTGACAGGGAGAGAGAGAGAGTCCGTGCCACTCCCTCCCATCCCTCCTCGGGGGGGGAAAGGCTCACATGGCAGATCTGTCACCCAGGAGGTCGCTCAGTGTTAACGCTCCCGACACGGATTAAACACTAGTGGCCAGTGCAGGAGTGTGGGGTCAGTGTAGCCACCACTGACAGGCACCACTGGGCCCCCGCTGACTGCCCTGCTGCAGTCTCATACTGGTGCTACTCTTGGCCCCGGCATGTGTCAGACAGTTGGGGAGACAACCGCCAGAGCTGGCCCCTGTGAGCAAATGCTAATGTTCTATTTTGCACGGTTGCTTTTTTACACTGCTTTTAGTCTCACTTGTACACTGTAAAGATATCATAAAAAGCTGGATAGTAAAGTTATTAATGATTACTGACCAAAGCTTTTGTTGGCATTTGTAAAACTGTGAAAACTATACTTACCAAAATTGGACTATTTGGCAGCATTGGTATGGTTTATTTTAGAGTTTTTACTTTACCCTTTAGGAATATTTTTTTTAGGTTTATGGCTCAGTGTTTATTAAAATGCTTTTTAAATTGTATTTATTTATTTAGATGTCAGTACAATTGTAAACAAATAGGAAAACACTTGACCAAATAACTTAAGTACAGTTAATATATATCAATGACACTGTTTCCTTATTGGATTTCAAAATTGAAAAGTAAATTGCATCACACTCCAAAACTGGTACATCTGATTTTTGCCTGCTGAAGAGGGACACTAGATTCCCCCAGTTTATAGCTCTCACTCAATATCGTCTCCCTCTCTCTATTTCCCCCCTCTTCCTCTCAATTTCTCTTTCTCCCTCTTTTTCTCTCTGTCTCTCTCTCTCTCTCTCCCTCTCCCCAGTCAATAAGACTTGAGCTGAGCATATGTGAAATATTTATTCAGCGTTTGCTCAGAGCGCCATAGCTGCCCACACACTCTACCTGCCCTGAAGAGAAATCTTATCTGTGCTTCCTCTGCCTTCGAAACCCCCTGAAAGCCTGTCCCCACACTGGCCCGAGCTCAACACAAATTACATGTCTCATTGCTCTGCGTTTACAGCTACTTTAAAGCCTGCCGCTCCTGTCCCCTACATAAGCCCTCAGCAAGACTCTGTTTCAGCCCGGCTGAAGAAAAAAAAAGAGACCTGCGTGAGCTGAGCTGCTACTTGTGCCTTTGATTCATTATTAATCTCTCCTTTTTATTTTAATTGAGGACACATTGCAGATTAATTCTATTGCCCTTGATTTTTAACCAGAAAAACTACAACCCTATCATGTTAAACAGTATTCATGCTGAGATTTATATTTATAAGTAAAAATCATTTGAAATAATTTGCTTAATTTTATTTTTTTTATCTCATACTTGTACTTAGTAACATCCACGGATTCTGTCCTTTGTCCTTTCACAAACAAATAAAAACCCAACACAGACAAGCAAATACATACAAACACAGACCCTGCAGCCTGTAGTCAGTCTTGTTAAACTCTTTTAGTGTATGTTCATGTAATCTGGCATCCGTCCACAGCCCCCATGACTGACCCTCATAATGCTGGCTGGCGCTTTTCTCACTTTGTTTAGCTTTCCAAGTGGAGTGCAACTGAAGAGAGTAGTGAAGATACAGCCAAGATTAAATCTGGTGTGTTTTATGATGGTACATAGTATTGAAAATGAGGGTATTCTTTTTAGAAAGAGACCACCTTAAAAATAGTGGAAAGGTTCTCCTTAATTTTCCTTTTTTTATACATCTAGTAATGATATTGTATGGCATGAATTTGTCTCATCACCAGCATATCCTGATGTGATGCATATATTTATGGGCTGTTCTCTGATGTAGTGTTTAAGGAGAGCATTTGGCAGTCTTGCAGTCTGGTGCCATGTCTGCCAATCAGTAGTTGGGGTTGGTAGACTGGGCCACCACCTCTTCTGTTAATCAATTTACAGGATGGTAGAAAGTCTTATAGATGGTGTCTTTGTCCCTTTGTTCCTGTTACGATCCCTTCTCCCTCTCCTGGGAGAGTGTGGGTGGTGGGAGCTGCCGTGCTTGCTCAGCTTTAAGTTATTTTATTCACACTTTTAATCGCTGAGTGCTTTATTATTAGGTGCTGGATTCTGCTGGCCAGGGGATCTGCATGGGAAGGCGAAGAATGCATTTAGTGGAATCATATTAATGGCACTATAAAACAAATCTGTCAGGCTGTTCTTAACCCTGCTGGCAGAATTGCTCTGCCCGGGGTTGCCCCCTTCTCCAAGCGCTTACAGGTGGCTAAGGAGAGTGCATCTCCATCATCTACTCCACCGTGTGCTAATAGTTTTATTAATTCATTCTTTTTTTTTTTCCCTCCCTAGGCACCCTGTGCATAATCACACAGACATTTTTCAGCTAAATGGTGTTTGTCAAGGGAGGTTTCCTACATTAGAGACACTCCTCCAAGACACACATACTAACACTTGTTCAATTACAAGTCGTTTCGTTTTCCAATTCTGCCTTGTATAAATCTAAAATACTCGGGTATATCATTAATTATCACCAAGCTTGTTTTTGTTTGTTACTCTATGTCCTGTTTGGTTAAATAAATGACTGTTTTACCTCCCGTGCAACATCTTAGCAATTCGGAAATTCGAGGTTTTGCTTGTCATGAGCAATTTGTTAAGGGAGGGGGGAAATTGTTTTGCTGTCGCTCCCTTAAGACCGAAATGGAGCTCCTCTTATGTGGCAATTAAAATGTAGATTATTTTTTTAATACAAATTTACACTTACGCCTGAAAGGTTGCACTTTGTCCAACATGTCCTTTAATCACTCAGCAGCTTGCTAATAAAACATAAACCACTTAGTGGGGAATTAGTTCTGTCTCCATTTCACAAGAAACTCTGGAGAATGTGAGGAGACAGGGGGAAGGTATAGTCCTGCCTCTGCTCATTACTGCACAAAAATCTGACGGCAGAGTCTCAGTCTGTGCACCTGAGTGAAGGAATCTGAGAGGTTTTCCCAGATGTTTCTCTCCACCGTTTTTTATTAGTGTTAAAATAGCATGTAAATCCTGAACACATGGGCTGACATACCATAAGGGAGGAATTGAGAGAAGATATTTCTGACAGTTTTGGTTTATACCCTCATTTAAGCACTCAGTTTAGACACAAGGCATTGTATTTCTGTAGGCTTTTATCTTGTCCACTGAGCCGGAACGCGGTGAGCAGAAATTTGCATTAGTGGGCGATTATGAATACCTGTGACAGATTCTCCCTGCTGGCTCCCTGGGTGGAAATGAATTGGCTCCCTCTGTTGACTTCCACAGGAAGACAGAGACCAAGCAATTAGACTTTAGTGGTTAATGTAGCAGCTTTTGCAGGGAGGGCAAGGAGGTTCAACATTCCTGCTGGGCTCATGTCAGTCTCCAGGCACATTTCCCCTCTTTTCTTCTCCTTTTTTATGAGAATACTGGGAATATGACAAGCTACCTGTCCAGCAGCCAGCTGAATTCCTCTGGGGTGAGGAGAGCGTCGCTTTAGAATCCTCTCATGGGAACTGAGGTGACAACACATGACGTAGGTTATTCATAACAGAGAGGGTATGTACTGCACCTTCCTCTGTGCATCATGCATATTCATTGTTTACCTTTTTTTTTTTTTTTATCCCCCACCAGCTCTAGTTTGTTGCTGCATATGTAATTCAGACAAGCTCTAATATGAAATAACTATAACATGGTGTTCATGTTGTACATTTTTTTTTAAATCTTGCTCATCCTGCTGGGGTGCTGCATGGCGCTTTGGCTCACATACGGTCTCCCAGGTTACACTAAGGGATTATAGACAGTCAGTGGTGAAGCCTAGGGCGGTTGGGCCAAAGTGTTGTCTGCATTACTCATGGTTCACCTTCCCCTGGTGGCCATTTGAACCTACGCCTTGTGTGGCAATAGGTAGAGTGGCCCCCAGAGCAACATGAATGGACTCCGTACAGTCGCTATGACAGGAGCAGTCTGCTGTTTACAGGCCTGCTACTGAGGCCTTAAGGCCCCAGTGCTTCACATCCTGTCTCAGGCTTAACTCGAACATATTGTTCATACTCGGAGCGGCCTCCAGCTCTTTGAGCTTACACTGTGCTGCCATTGTGTTAGTTTAGCTTTGCAGTTAAACGCAACATTTGAAATGCAATTTGCAATAGAAAAGGGTCCAAAAAAGTAGGAAGAATCTCACAGTTTGAAAGGATGCATTAATTAAAGAACAATTTTGTATTTAAAGTATGAGGAAAATTTCAAAATTGACATTGTGAAACAAAAATGGACCATATGTTGGGTGCATTGGCGCATAATCACATTATAATAGATATGAAGGTTCAACTTGCTGTGGGGGGACATCTTTATTTCATCCCTGTCAACCTGCTGGTGTGATCCTCCTCACATGTTCCTGATCATTTCAGTTGGAGACAGACTCATTAGGCTCTCACTAAATGGGTTTAAATGCAGCCGTCCAATTAGTCCTCTGCTGTGAAATGCAGTGGGTGTTGTGCAACGTGCTTAGCACCACTCCTTTACAGAATTATGAGGGATTACTCATTCAGTGTGATCCATCTTATTTCTACCAGGGGTCTTGGCTTTTCTCAGTATCCTCGCCATGGAGGGGGTAAATGTTGCAACTGCTTCTCCGGTTGCCATATGCGCCCCGTCAGACAGCCTCGCTGCCTCACCATCTAAGAGGATTTGATGTGCTAGTTAAAAGACAGCATACCATGCCTATCCATGTCATACTTTCTGTTCAGCAGAAAGGCACCCTGCCAGCACAGTGTTATTGGTGTATATAAATAGGATTTCAAGATATTAAAAGTTGTCTCTGAATGTCTGTTACTTTCAAACCACTAAGAGTAAAATCTGTTGCCATCGGCTATAAATCTCAGAGGATTTACAGTCTGTAGAGCTTTTCATGAGATTTAGGATGTGGTTAAATCCATTATATACTTTGTTTTGGGAGCGGGCACATTCAGATTTGATAACTGGGCTTTCAAATCTCGGCGTAGTATGATGAGCTTTGCGTTATACTGTCATGTCCTGTCTCCTCAGATCTTCCTTCTGACGGTGTGGCACTGGGAGCTCTTCATGCTGCCCCTGTTCCTGCTTCTGCTCATTGGCTGGCAATACTTCCAGCTCACCGTGGGGAAGGCCAGCTCCAACCAAGACCCGGTGAGTGACGAGGACTCTGAACTCCATATACATCTGCAGACACATGCTGTTACAGTGCAAATGAAATCTATATGGCAACCCAACTCTGGTCGGTCTTCATAGAATTAAATCCTTTTTATGCACATTTAATGCAGTTTTATAGTCATGGCAATTAAAAGCTCTTGCACTTGCATGTGCAATGTAAATAACAACAGATGTTTTATGAAATGCATCTCACAGTACAGTCAGGTGTGGCAGTATTCTCTCGTTAACTAGTTTCTACATTGTCTCAATGGGCCCAATAAAGCACCAAGCAGTAAGAACCACTTAAATAAAATCACTGTAAATGTATGTATAGCCTTTAGTCTGTTCATACAGTGTCACCACATCTGTGAACACAGGACTGTAGTTCTCCATAAACACACCACCATCTCCCCTACATCGACTGTTATGGAAATTATGTTTGCCCTACACATGTCTGTGAAGGTTAATGCTGTTCACACTTCCGACTGCCCCCCAATTTCACTGTGTTGTAAGCCTTCTCACCGGCCAGCCAGGGGCCTGGCCCACTCACACCCCCCCTCCCCCCTCCTCAAAGCAACGTATCCGGCCCTGGTGATTGTGTTTATGGCTGTTGGCAAAGATGCTGTCCCTGGGCAATGCTGAATCTAAAGCTCACCCTCATATCCAGTGTGCACACTCTGCCACCCCTCTGTGACCCTCTGGCCGGCAATGACACAGCCCTGTTCCCAGGCAATGTCACAGTGTGCACCACATTGGGGTCAGGGATGACTTGATATAAAGTGATCTAGGCAACAGCATCCAAATTAAATGTGTTTTCCCCCCCTCTCTTTTCTGTTTTTCTGTGCTTATGTTGTGGAGAAATGAGATTGCTTTGGTGTGACAGTGCTCTTGTGAGGAAGGCCCTCATTCACCTCTCCTTTTGTGTGAGGTCACCCCTGTGATGCAGTCTCTATGGAAACAAGCCTCTCCCAATAGGGGTGAATGTACTCAAAGAAAATTTCATTACTAGGTGTTTGTTAAAAATGCTCCAGTGCCCACATGTCCTGTCCGTTTGAAATCACCCACTACCCTTTATTTTCTCTCAGGTGAACATAAGCACGGGTGATGACGAAGAGGAAGACGAGAAGGTAATTCATCTTGTCTCTTTCTAGCATTTTAGAGGATAATATGCTTTGGTCGAGGATTAAACTGTTAATATAAAAATATGTTTAAATGTACTATAAACATGAACTGTTTCACCGTGACATATCTCAAAGCTTGTGTACAAATGGTTTGTTTTGACAGATGGGTGAACCTTGCTAACATTTCTTATTGAAATTTCTTAATTAATAACCAAGGTCCAATGTTCTCGTATGTACAAATTCTTGCTCGAGCAAATATATCCGGGCATTCTTAAACAAATGAACCCTTGCTTCTTAGAAACTAGAAAATATTTTACACAGAACCCTGCAGGTGTTAGTCTTGTTTGTTTAAGAATAGCGACAATGACCGACTCATCACAAGCTCTTTTAAACTAAGAATAGAAATATTTTCATGCATCCCAAAATCAGGGCAACATCTATGAAGCAGTTGTAGCATGTAGCTCTATTTTTTTTTTTTGTTTGTGTTCCTCTGGGTATTCAGTGTCACTCTGCAAATGTGCCCCGCTGAGACACTGCATCCCTTTGGAAATCCATAAATCAAATTAAAACGGCACCATCAATTACATTTTGCACAGCTGTTTGGGACAAAATCAGTCGATATTTTTGTATCATCATTGTTTAAATGGGAGAGTGATGTTGAGGATGACCTTTTTACTGCTAGAACAAATAGAACAAAGTACGTTAACACAGCAGCAAACAGTACACATCGCCCCAAAGGTTATCAGTCGCTTCACTCGCTCATTTGTGAGAAACCATAAATAGTGATGTTTATTAACATGTCTCTCTAGTGTCTCTCGCAAAACAAAAACAACAGGAAGTCTTTAAGTAGCCTGAAAATTATACTTACCCTCAGCACATAATATTCAATTAAACTCATCCCACTGTTTTCTGCAAAGCAGGAAGAGTTAACAGGGATGTGTATTATTGCTTTATGGCAATGAAGTGTGGAGCTAACGCGAAGCCTCCAAGCAATGACCCTTGTGCTGCATGTCTAGGCCCAGGATTCATATCCATAATGCGCTCAATATATTCTGTTGTGATGACCTGGGGCTGCGAAAAAAAGCCAGATTCTTTTAAAAACACAGGCACATCCACCAAATCCTGTCTGAAAGGATGGGCTAATTCACAGATGAAACTCGCATGATATGTCTTTGCGCACAAAGTGGGGAAACTGCATTTGCTATCATTGCTATGAACAGGCAAGCGGGTGCTTAAACAAACAGAAAATGTTGTGTATTTATGAATATCGAATCAGGCAGGAGTTAGCTTTAAGCATTAGATACAATACAATTGCTGCACACAATGGTTATTACATTTTTCTCTACCTTGAGATCTCAACACAGAAAAGACGAGCGTTAATAGTTGGAGAGATGGCGGTGGCTTTAGAAAGGTTTTAAGACTCTCTCAATACGTGGCGTGCGTTTCTGAACTCAGCCTTCGCCTGTTAAAGCTGTTTAAAAGGTTTTCCTTGAGCCTCCTTAAGCCCTTTCACACTCCGAGGAAATGAAATATCTCCTTTCATTTACTAATTAAGCAGTCACCCATGTTTGTTTTAAGCTGTCAGCTTTAATTTAAAGTGGCTTATTTGAAAGTGTTGTTATGGTCTCGCTGTCACTTGGATGTGGTATCATGCAGTTAGATCAAGCAGGGTAGCTTTACACCTCCTATCAAAGTCTTCTTTAAAAATATTTGGGGTTAAAGAGTGATCAGTGTTAAATTTGACAACTTCAAAGCAATTGCTTTTTTTTTTTCCCCTTAGTCTTTTCTCCAACATTTGAATAAAGGCTTTTTCCTCTGAGAAGGTTATGATTACCACTCAAATATGTTCTTATCCCCCCCTTTTTTTTTTCCCCCCCTGAGGAAGGAAATATTCAAACCTCAGACAGAGCAGCAAAAAATGTGAAGGCATGACGTTAAAGAGAGACGAAAGGCAAGGCAGTGTTACAGCAGGATAATACAGAACAGATTCTCTGCCTGTGAACAAATCTGTCCTCGGGGGGGAAAGAGACAGCTTACAGATTATGTGTGGGCAAAGTGACTTCCCTTTGGCCTTAGGTATCAATTGTGCAGATAGATAATATTTAATGATAACATAAAGAAACAGAAAGGCAAAACAAGCCCATAGATCTCCAATAGAAATGAACAGGGGAGATGAAACAGCTCTTTCATTGCCCCCCGGCTGGCACTGCTGGTCTGGGGTTGCCTTGCTCCCAGAGTGTAGCCCAGGGGAGTGAGGAGGGGGGGCAGGGTGAAGAGCTGGTGTGGGGTTGCGAGACTGGGCTGGTGGGGGGGGAGTTAGTCCATCTCTCACCCGATAGTCCACATTCACCGCTGGTTCTCCTTGAGACCCCCGGTCAGACATACTGCCTTTGTCACAATCTGCAGCTCTCAATATGTGAGAAATCACACACGGACCCGCTGTCTAATTAAAAGCCGCTGAGAGCTTTTGTGGCATTTTATCTCAGCAAATTGTTTGTTCACTTATTTTAGCTCCATGTGAGATAATTTGCCGGGAACACAGGTGTTTTTCATTTAGATGCACTTCTTATCTTTGTCAGAAAAGTCAGTAGAAAAATATGCAGTCCTAGAATTCAAATTTGGCAGCGTTTATTCTAATTAAAGTGATGCTAAATGAGCTTTTTTTTTTTTTTTTTTATCCCAGCCTTTGATAACACCCCACATGTCTGTGAAAGTATGTTTACCTTTGCGCGGGAGATCAAATTGGTTCTCCATTACTGCACCTTAAAAGGAAGCTTTTACAATTTTGTCTGGAATGAGAACATGATTTCGCACAGGTTTTCTAATCAGTAGACATTTAGGAATTATTTAGTCCATCCCCAGTTTACCCATCCCTTTTTCCATTTCCGAAGGAGATCTTTCATTTATTTTTGTTTTCTCTGCAATCGTGTTCGACGTGAAAGAGAAATGAGCAAAGATAAAGAATATCATCAAATGACTAATGTGGGAAGGAGCAAGACTAGGAGCTTTGGTCGCTAAGGAGATGGAGGATTTTGAGACTTTTTAAATCACATGAATAATGATGATGATGAGAGCTCTGTCTCCATGCATACTTCAGAGAACATCTATTTGCCTGTTTTTTTTTATTCAGAAATGAAAGACAATATGGATGCGCTTTTTTTTCTGGGCAAATTCACCTTTACATATGAACCTACTGAAGTTAATTTAGCTTCATATCTCCTGTGAGGCTTGAATTCTGAATCATGTAATTACACTGCCTAACCAGTTTCATTGAAACATATGAAAAGGAATGAGAGTGCGTAATGAGTCTCCATAAAAAAAGAGAGCTATCATGTCTCAATGCACGGCTCTCTGGGTCCAGCAGGAGCTCAACAACATGTATCTTAATGGCTTTTAGCAGACTCTAACAGTATTCCTCTTTTCCAAAACAAACTAAGAATTAAAAGCTTAATGAACTGCCGATGTAGAATCAAGGAAACACGCGAGGTTTGCTCATTCCCCTCGATACAGAGGAGAGAAGTAAGATGATGCAAAGACCTAGATACTCCTCTTCCCCTAAGATGAGACCATGAGATCTTAATCTCAAAACAAGCATATTTGTGATAGTTCTTCCTTTTTTGGACAATGCGGAGCCTCCAGTGTGAGTCCAGACCCCGAGCGCAGTGGGGGGAGGCTCTGCTAGTGTGGGAATTGCTCTCTTCCTGCGCCTTTAGTGGAGCAGAGCAGGCCTGACAGTGGGGAGTCTCTCTGTGCTGGCAGTGAGTGTGTTCCCAGGGGTGGCCTCATGAAGCTCTGATAAAGGCATTCTGTCTGGACGCTGTCAATGCACAGACTGCGGCTTCGGCTGACTTGTAACATAAACATATAGACGTCTCAGGCCTCCTGTTAGGGTCCCCCCCCCCCCCTCCCCAACCACACACACACATAAAAGAAACACACTCATCTTCCCTTCTCACTCTTCCTCCCCTACCCTCTGTCATCATTGCTGTCATTATTTTCTCCTTTTGATCTGAGGCTTCTCAAGCCTCTTTAGCTTGTGTTATCTTAGTCACTCCTCTCCCTCTGGAAGGCTTCACGCTAGTCCTTATTTCCAGCCTTGATGTGATCCTGGGGAAGAGAAGCCCTTTAACCCCCTAACATGTTGACTCATTGAGTCACTTCATTTTTTTTATGTACGTGTATTTAGAGAAAATGATACTTTACGTGCTGTGTTACTTCCGACAAAAATCAAACGAGAGGCTGAGTGAACAAGTACCAAACCAAGGATTTTCTAACGGGGCTTTTCTACTGCACAGAAGCGTTAGGATCTCACTAATTTGGAAAAACCTGTTCAGACTTATCCTGTGCTCGCTTCTGGAATGAAATCTTTCCTAAGTTGTTGCGCCCCCCCCCCCCCCCCTCTTCTCGTGTAGGTCATCTAGTCTGTCTGATTGCAGATGGCCATTTTGTGTACTTTTCATCTACCAGAGAGTGTTGATTGTGCTGCACTTGTGCTGCAGCTCTATTGTGTGTGGCTGACAAAAGCTGAAATCTCTCAGCCATCCACAGAACCGCGTCGGAGCACTGAGTCTGTCTCATCCTCAGAAGCAGAGTCTGAAGATGTACTGTGTTTGCTCATTATGGGCCATTCAATAGATAAATCACACATAATGACATCGCAACGATAAACTGCTCTTTGTCTACCCTGCTCAACAATTGACATACGGTGTACCTCATCATTGTCTGATCATTTTTTTTTCTTCTTCCTTTTTTTTTTTTAGGAATCTGGGAAAAAGGGTTTGATGGATAAGATACATATGGTGCAGGAAGTTGTTCTTGTTGTCCAGAATGTTCTGGATGAAATTGCAAACATCGGAGAGCGGGCCAAGAAGTAATTTGACTATTTTTAATTTCATCCTTGAAGTATTTCTATTTAAAATGAACCTCTTAATAATAATGATAATGTACATTTTACTGACTCTCTTTTTTTTTTTTTCAGCATATTCAACTGGTCTGTTCCATTCTTGTCATGCCTGGCTTGCTTGGTGCTGTTTGTGGCAACAGTTTTGTTATATTGTATCCCACTGCGATACTTTGTGCTGATCTGGGGTAAGTTCTACAACAAGCCACAAGTTCATACATGAAATTGAAAATATAAAAAAAGCAAATGCAATCATTTAAGTGTGCCAGATGAATACTTAAAGCTAACCAATTCCACTATCTGTTTCTTGCTAATCGTTCTTCACAAAGACTAAAACATTCTTCCAAATCGCATAAAGAGAAACTTATATTGCAATAAGTTACTTACTGTTGCAAAACACAACTCTTATTCAATGTTTCTAACTGTAAATCCATGATTTAATGAAGTACAGTAATTTCAGAACCCTGCCATCCCTACACCTCTGCAGACGCACACAGATCAGACAGCTGCAGAGGTTTACACTGTTCTGTGTGGGCAGATATAGCAGAGCCCAGCAGAGGCGAGGCCCAGGGTTTGTGTGAAAACAAAGCAGAGGTAGAGTAGTAAGCTGTATATAATACATGATGTCCTTGGGCAGTCTGTAGGCTCCTGGTCTAGCCTCTCATTATCTGCTGTAGTCATACAGAATAGACAGTCATCTCAGTGGTCAGGGAGATATGCTGCCCTTAACAGGCTCTCCTCCTCAAGCTGTAAGCCCACAACCACTGTACTTCCACACTGCCTTCAACACAATCAATACCAAAAAAAACCATCATATCAAACAAAAAACACACAGTCTGAGACACTCCTCTGCCTCCCCAGTTAACCCCCATCTCTGTGGTTTCAAGGCAAGCCTTTCAAGTTGCTTGCACATATTTAAGTCCTTAGGTTCTTTGTCTGCATGTTGAGGTACAGGCGGGAGCAAACTGTGAATATAATGGTCCCTATTACAAGACCCCAGAGATAGTGTTTTCTCTGTGGTATGAAGCCATGTGCAAAGTAAATATAGATGGGCTAGAAATGATTGCATGAAAAAAAGAAGTTTTTATGATATGAAACCTGTTTTTCTCGGAAAAGTTATCGTTATCATCTACGTAACTGATTTGTCTCTTTGGATTTGGATTTCTGCATTATACAGTTATAAGTGGTGCAACAGATCACAAATCTCACAGTTCTGATTGGATTATGGATTTGTGTCACAGATCAGATCGTCGATTGGCCAAAAAATGTATAACTTTTCTATGACTGTAACTGTGAGTTTAAACAGTGCACATCCTCAGTTTTCTTCACTTTATTAAATCGAAATGGAATCAAGTCTTGACCTAAAGAAATGAAATTTAATTTAATTGTGAGGTTCTTGACCACACCAGCACTAAAATAAAATTCAAAACAGTCTTCATATTTCTACTGCAGTTCTCCAAGGCATTATCTGCAGCACATTTACTTTACACCAGCATGATACAGTTTTCATTGATCTGTTGATCGCAAACAGCCTGAACAGTGGGGGGTGGTGGGGGGGGAGGGGGGGTTGATCACAGATCAACTATGATCCGCTGCACCACTGGCAGTAACTGATACACTGGTTGGAAGTCTATCCAGTACACAGATGGGGTTACATAACTCTTTTAGAATGATTCTCTTTTACTCTGCAGAGCAGTGCAGGTAATGCAGCTTGGTATGACACACTTACTTATTAATGTGTACTTGTTTTCACAGGCATTAACAAATTTACCAAGAAGCTGCGCAACCCATATACTATTGACAATAATGAAATACTGAATTTCCTCCAGAGGGTGCCTTGTGATGTTCAAAAGGTAAGGGTCCAATTTTACATACAGATAGGGATGGAATTCCCTAAAGATGTCTGCATTATTTGCTGTACCAGAATTCCCAAGTGTTGCAGAAATATATCCTCTGGCTTTGTTTGATTATTAATGGACTCTCGCCTCTAAAGCAGCCCTGGCCCAATTATTCCTCAGTGTAGCTCCTTGTAGTCGCCGTAGTGTCTGAATAAGGAGATGCTCAAACCTGTCCTCAGCCGTATTGCTGCAGCCTGCTCCGTTATTAGCAATTTTGTCTGTCTGATTGAAGCACTGTGACATGAAGGTTGGTGATTGGCCGAGGGCAGGCATGGGCCCCCCTGACGTCTCCGGCTGTTGTGTCAGCACAGAAACTCTGACGTGGCCTCAGTCACTTCAGGGTGGTGGAGTCAATTAATGTAGTCGTGAGCCCCAGTCGTGTTGCTGGGTGCCATATGTGATTACATATTAGCCATGGCTGATATGTCATTTGCATTTACATCACAGAGCTGAGGAGAGCTGTCAGGGTGCTGTAAAGCGGGTGCTGGGTGCTCGCCGTTCTCTGACTGAGATTTTTTGCTAGGCCAGGAAATGAAGTGCCACACAGTGCCTTCATCTCGCAGGTAACTCGCCAGACGGAATTCAGTGAGAAATCCTGACAGTCTGGATCTGGAAAGACACTCTCACCCCAGTCTGTTTCTCTGCTGCACCCTTGATGTCCTCCTGCAGCAAGCCATTCCTGACTTCTCTGTGATGTTGGAGGGAGCCTGTGTTGTTTGAGATTTGGCTGACTGAGTTGGCAAAACAAGGTGGTGAATACATTTTGATTCAGAATCCTTTGTATGTCTTCTTCCCCCGTTGGGATACAATGTTTGAGCTTTGAAAGCGACTCACTTTCAAATCTCATGGAGACAATACTTTTTAGCCTGGTTTAAAAGAAAAAGTACATCTTGAAAATAGCGCCAATCATAAAAAACAAAACACCCTTAAGATTCATCATAAGTGTGTTTCATTACTTACTGTGAAAAATAACCTTAACATCATATACACAGGAGACCCAAAACAATAGACCACATATTTTGTTTTTGTTGACTTAGAACTTCAAACCTCAGATAGGTATGGACACAAAAACACCACAAAGGCTGAAAATTGACTCCTGTCTTTCTTGCAAATGTGACTTGGCAATTAGTGCCTGCGCACATCTACAAAGTCTGCCTCAAACGGGGACTTCTGACAACGCTGTGTCTGTCCTGAAATAAGAAGCATCTGTCAGTTCTGAGGACAGTTTCATGTTCTGATGCAGGAGGCAGTCACTTTGTTCCCACATTCCATCTCCCATTCTAATAATGGACACCAGCTAATTAGCATAGAGTTTTTACCTTTATTCAACAGATTCACCGTATTGTTTGAGCTCAGCAAGCAGGCTTCAAAAGCAACTTTGCAAATTCCAGCTCTTCTCTTTTTCACTTTACCCTATGATCAGCCCTCTTTGGATGTTGGTTGTAGTTTGAAAAAAAAGAAGGAAATATGGACAACTGAATCTAATTTCTTGAATGTTAAGAAAATTATGATTCAATAACATTAATCAATCTAGCACATATATTTGAACATCAAGGAATTTCTGTAAAGAGGAAATATATCTTGCACTATTCTTCATTTGTAAAAAACTGAAAAATGTAAAAGTTTTAGGTTGAAATGTTATTTTTAGGCCTTTTTTTCCCCTGAAGAAATCAAAGTCCCATCAAGGGTCGATCTGTAAAGCTTGAGAAAAGTTACACATTTACCGATGCTGGCAGCATAAACAATAAGTTGCTACTATTCTCAGCTTTATCAAAGTTTTCTTTAGGGGACGTAGCTCACACTTTGTGATTATGCAGTTTGCTACTCCCTCACTGGCCTGGCAGGTCATCTCAACAGTTGATGTCTGTTTCTAATATTGTGACTGTGGTGCAGAATGAGGGGGGCGTACACTGGTACGGCACCCTTGACTCTTCAAATCCTTCCTCTCTGTGATTAATCCCCTCTGCTCCTGTGTTTAAAAAATGATTCATTACAGGCGAGCCCGCCTCGCTTTCCCCTGCACCAGCTCTCCTCAGGGGAGCCATTACCGTGCGCTCCACTGAGCTCGGATTACCTGCCTCTGACCAAACTCCTGTTTGTTTTTACAGGTGCAGTACAGCGCGCTGAGAGCGCCCACCAGCCAGCCGCGAAAGAAAAAGTAAGCTGCACAGACATGCAGGATGGAGGGCTGCTCTCCCTTTGAGTATGGTACGATGCTGTCCACCTGACAACAATGCTCCAGTGTCAGCAGAGCTGTGACCCCACGCACCCCAACGTACCACCCTAACTCTGCCCCCTGCTGCTGAGGGGCAGCCAGCCGCTCTCTGGCTTGTGTGTTTGCCACCCCCCTGACAGAGGCTGTGAACTGCAGCAGCTAGGGGGGCAGCACATGGCGCTGTCAATCACAAGCCTGGAGGTAAAGAAAAGAAAGGCTCAGCCTTCATCTTTGGATATAGTTTAGAAAAAGAATGAGAAGTGTCGGGTTTAGCTTACCGTAGACATCCTCTCTTAAGTTTTGTTTTTAACTCGATGAAACTAAGAAATTTGCCTAAAGGTTAGGTTTGGAGAAAAGTTTATGTTAAACAGGCTGTGGCAACATTATCCACGTGTTAATCAAATTTAAGGTCATAATGTTACATATATTCCTTAAGACTTGTGAATAATAATCAAAATAATGTTTTTCTACACCCTTATAATATCGCATCAGAGTACAGTATGTTACTATTCTCATTGATTTAATGTATATAATTCTGTCAGCCTCTATATATTTATTGTAGTAATCTCATGCTGACTTTTTTTAAGTTTTTGTATTTCAGACTGATTAATTTGAGTTTCCTTTTTGCAAAGTATCAAATCTTCAGCATCAAATTGAGACCTCTAAAATCCCAAATAAAGAGTCTTGATCATTTTTATCAATTGTTTTTTCTTTTTCCCCCACATAAGTGTTCACTAGTGAGGATGAATTACACCACGTCTTTACTTGAATACACAGTAAACACATCTGATTACACAACACAGCTATTGGAACAGAGCTCACACACCGGCCACCGCTGCGCCTTGGTTACCGAGCTCACATCAAAGCTGTGTGTCTCCACTGTGCTTCCTAATGCAGTGCTTTGTTGCTTTCTCACAATAACAGGGTCCAGATGAGAGAGAAAGAGCTCATCTCACAGAGAGTACTCCCTCCATCCTCAGCACTTAGTGCTCTACATTTCCTCTAAAAACACCTGGCCTATCTAATGGCAACATACACATACTCTGCTTTTTCCATCAGTCTCCCCACAATAGTTTTTTTTCCAAGGAGAGAGATGTAGTAAATCCTTTATCAATAGTCTCTGACGTATCAAGTTTATACACAGACAAAAAATTGCACACAACAGCTGTGGTCATTTTTTTATGTATTTTTTTTAACTGAAATTAACATTCAGAAAAAAAGGAAGAAATTAACTTTAAAATATCATATAGCTATGCTGCACTTTTTAAATGTATGAGGCATTTGTGCTCATACACATCTGCATGTAAAGCAAAGTTTCCTGCTTTGTGTCTTTCTGATGGCAGACAATTGGCATGTCCTCTCTTTTAAAACTCACAGAACTGATCTGAAGTTGGGCTGAACTGAGGCTTAGACCCCACCGATGGGAGTTTGTTCTAACTGATTGGGGGACTGAGCATCGCGGTCGGGTGCCCCCCCCCCCCCTCAGCAGCAGCACGCTGGTGAAAGAGCATCCATCTGTGCTTTGCGAAGAGTTTGATTGGCTCAGGGGGACCTGGTGGAGCCCCGGGCTATCTCTTTTGACAGGCTGATAGAGACATCACTGGGCTCTCCCAGGAGCTGCCACCAGGGGTCCATTTCAAAGTGAGAGGGTGTGGAGGTGACCCTGAGCTTCTGACGAGCTAAATCCCACACACTGGCTGAGACCCTCCTACATTCTTGGCTCCATCGGGGCTGGGAGTGGGGGGCTTGGCTGTGCTGGGAGGGAACGCAGAGCTGGGGCATGAGGGGAGCAGGGTACAAGCGGATCCCTGGCAAGACCAGATGAATTGTCCCCAAGGGGTGGAACCAAAGCAAAACTTTCAGGGTACTTTTAGTCGATATTAAGCAAACAAACGGCTGCATCTGGACATTCAGATGTGATCATTCATGAGCCCAGAAACTCCAATTCCAACAACAACAGTTGTGGGCATATACTATATTACTGAGGCAAATGCTACAGGTGACATTATGATTGGTCGTGCAGGAATACGGTTCCCTGCCTCCAAGCTGTCAAATCTTTGATTGTGTGGCACTGAGGTTGTGGACTTGGATGTTCCCTGTATCATTCAGCCTGACAGGGTTTACGCTGATTGTCGATTCAGCACTGCATGCACCAATGCACAATCATGCCACCTATTTAAACAAACTTAAATAGTGGATAAACAAAAACACGTATAAGCCCCTTTTCAAAGAGGCTTAATCAGATTTAAGAAATTATTTATTAATGTTTTTTCTCTTGGGAAGGCAAAAAAAAAAGAATCTCTGCAGAACAAGTCACTGTGCAATATGGTCCCAGTGTGCAGTGGGGAAAATCCCTGGATGTTTTACAAGCCTGCTAATGAACATTTGAGCCACACAGCAGTTAACATTGTCTGATCACATTTTTTTTTCCTCCAGTAGTTGTTGTTGTTGTGCATGGTGTGGCAGTGATGTCTTCATCAGGCTGTCAAAAAGGAAGTGCCTGCAGCTGTGGCGGATCCCCCCTGAGCCTGTCACACTCCTTGTTTCCATGGCAGTCCTTCAGGCAGCACCACAGGCAGGCTGTGTGCAAGGACCCATACAACCTGTTTTTTCAGCAGCCGCTCCTCTGATGTTCAGCCCCGGAGCGGGCGTCAAACTACCAGAGAGTGAGGAGAGAGAGAACACTGCAACCTTTCTCTCTGTCACAGTTCTGTGCTGCTTTACAAAAAAAAAAAGATGCATAGCAAAAAAAAAAAAAAAAAGAAATCCTCATTTGAATAAGCCACTTCTCTCTGCACCTCCTTAGTAATTGTTACATGTGCAATGCCGTTAAGGTTCTCTGACCTCCTCTCTGAGAGACACACTGCGCACAGTAGGACAAAGTAAGAATAGCACGACTCATGGTTGACTTACATGTGTTAGAGCTCGTATGCATGTGTTATTTGGTCTGCGTGTACCACCTGAGAAGCGGGTCACAAAGATCAGGGACTGCACTCAGAGTCCCAAATGGCCTAAATTAAAGGTGCAGAGGTTATGGTCTGCCTCCAGAGAGAAAGCTGACACCAGTTAGATCAGAATTTGAGAGAAACAACACAGTTGGAAACAACCTGAAAGGAAAAAAAAAAACAAGCAGTTTGAAACAGTTCCCTAATGATTTCGTCTATACGTTCAAATGAGGATTCATAGAGAGCTTTTATTTAAATAACTCCTGCTATTCCTTTTCTTCCTGATTATAACTCAACCAGACTGCGCTCTGCTTTATTCTCTCCCTATGATAGAAGATGTACATCAAGATAACCAGGATTGATGTCGTCTCTGGGAGTGCGGGTGGGAATATATCTGGGGTAGCAACACAGAGAAAAAACGGTCGTTAATAGCGGCTGTTTTCAGTACTTCCAGTTTACTAATAATTCATTTTGTGGCCCAGAGTACACAGCAGTGTTAAGACATGGCAAAAGCCATAATTCTTTATAGCATCAAGAATAGAAGATGGCCTTTAAGAGCTGAAATGAAATCATTGGCCTTTAAAAGCATCTCTCTAAGGGGCAAGCTCTATTAATAAATTCAACTGATTCTGCTTTAATATTATTCAGAGTGCATTAAAATGAAGACAACAGCTGGGATCATGCTCAGTCTCTGGAGCATTGCTTGGGCCAATGAGCGCTGGCAAGATGCAAAGCATGTCTGAGCGTGGCCCTGCTCTGTGGACGGGGGGAACACAAGGTCTCAGTGTTACAGGTGCAGGTCTGACAGTTGCTGTTGCAGGATCAGAGGTTGTCGGGCACTGACATCGGCAACAGGACAGCTCCCGCCTGCCTCAAAAAACACAATGTCACATGGGAGCAGACATGCGGCCACCCAGCCAATCAGGCCAGCTATACTGCCACAATCATGACAGAACTGCTTATGAGAAGAGCAAGAACCTTCAAACTGTTAAATGCTTTGTTAAACAGAATAGTTATGGGCTTCTTTTGTTACTCAGAAAAAAATGGAGACAAACTGTTCGGAGGCTTTGAAAGAAAAAGAGGGGGAATAAAGTGTTAAGCTTTCCAACATTTGGCGTTACATCAGTGCCCTATAGTTAGCACAAGCACACGCATCGGGGAAACAATACAAAGAATAATTGAACTGCATATTTCATTCTAATTAACAGTGATATAACGCAATGTGACTCTCAGCCTCCTGAGGAAAGAGCGGCATATTTTGTTTGATGAATCTGCTAAAGCCACAGCTAGTCTCGCCGCCCGCTAACCCCTGGGGAATCAGGTATCATTAGAGATATGAACAGGTCTGCTTTTTGTCTCACCGAAAGAAAAGGGAAAACACATTTCTCCGTGCGTGCACACGGGTGAATGGGAAAGTGTTCAATATTAATAGCCTTTCATCAAGGACACAATTAGGACACCTCTGTTTGACACATTCTATAGGTTCTGAATGAATATGGATATATGGTCCCAAGGAAGGAGCCACTGGCTGCATAACAAAGTGAAATCTCCACAGAATGAAGAATGCACGACATGACAATCTGGGGGCTGATGTATTTTGATCGAATGTGAATTTAAAAGAAGCAAGAGACTGTGAGTATTATTATTAGCCCAATTTATAATTCACGGCCGAGGGCAAGTTGTATATTTATCCAAATTAGCATACATGCTGCTACACAAACATACAAATGCAGCACATACATTACAGTCTCTCCACGCTACTTTTATCTGTCACACTTCGAAGTATAACTCCTCGTGCTCTTGTGTTTTCATAGTTTTTGTCCCTCGCAAGAGAACTGGAAACAAAGATTATAGCTTAGCGGCTGGTCACTGATCAGTCAGAGGTTGACACACTCACAGTCGATCTGATTAGTGAGAGCAGTTTATGGGTGTGCAATTTTCTCCACCGGAGTCTTGTGTGCTGAGGCTGAGGTGTGAAGAGGGCTGTGGTGAAGTGTGGAGACTAATCACGTGCGTCACCCCTGTAGCACCATCTTCTCCCAAGCTCTGCCACGTCGTGACACCAGAGTCACGTAGCGACTGAGTACAGTTAGGCCCATTAACCAAAGCCGCTAATTATCAGCTCCTACAAGGTCTTTCAGCTCTCAGGCACCGCGCTCTCTCATTTCTGATTAAAAACATAAATGCATGCAGGAAAAAAAAAAAAAAAGAGGATCAATTACAGCGAGGCAGAAAAGATAACAGCCCCCGTACCAGAGTAATTAGGCCGGGTGTTTCATCGGAACCGCTCGCTCTGTGATGAAGGTTTAAAAGAGTCCAGTGGCAGAAACACCACAACTGTGTTTGTTTTATTTATGATGCTGCAGTGTCACCCACAGGGGCCCAATTAGCCTGCGACTGATGCCTCGGAAAGCTTCTCTCTGCTCCTCTTTGACAGGAAATGAAAGCCCCCTCGTGCTTCTGTCCTTCTGCTGACCTGCGGGCTTCAACCTGTGCAGGGCAGACCGGCCAACAGCGATGACTTCAACGTGCCACAACAACCGCCTTCCCTTCTTTCGGGGCCATTTGCCAGCTTATTTCAAAACCGTTTAACTGTGTCAACCGAGGACATCGTGGGTATAATGAGGCAGTGTTGGAAGCTATTTAAGCTACAGATTCACTTTAATGTCACTTTTTTTTTTTTTCTCCTGTCTGATTTTAATGGTGATGCTCTGTAATGTATGTAACCGCATTCCCAGCATTCCACACCC